GAAATGTAAAACAATTTCCATACACCAAATTTAGGTCTCTTTGTGTGTGATTTTTGTCAGGTGAAAGAGGCCCAGAGCTCCAGAGGCTCCTGGAGAGCTGAGGGTAAAGATCAACCTAGCTGTTGCCGTGTTTTGTACTGATATCATAGACACAGACTCGGTCTGGCCCTTTAATGCCAGTCCCACCAGAGGGAAAGCTTTTCAGCAGGAGCTGTGAACGTGAACATCGTGAGGTCAGGCAGACCCTCTCCATGGAAATCAGCATTTATTCCAAGGTTTTAATGCCTTATTTAGCCTCACCCGGAGGTGACCTTCTACACAGGGCCAAAAGAAAAGTGATTTCTTTGATCGTCCATCTGACCCCAATCTGACCTCCTGCGCTTTTCAATTCATTTTAAATCATGCTGTTCTGGCCAAAGTGATTCCAACTCTTAGCAAAGAATATTTCACATTTTTACCAACATTTTGGGCCAGTTTCAGATCTGTTTACTTGAATAGCAAGAATAAAATCTGTGAATTCTTTCTGAGTCCTTCTGATCTCAGGCAGCAAGGAGGGAAGGTGAGGGAAATATTGATAAACGGCATGCATCTTTGCAGGGAGATGAGAGTTGGAAACGCCTCCTTGCTCAGATGTGAACTAATGCTCATTTGGGCCACATCTCAGGTAAAGGAAGGTGGCTATACCTCCCAGGGCAGGGACCCGGGTTCTCTTTTCCTCAGGTCAGGATCAGCACCTTCCCAGGAAGAAGGACTTCACTGTCTTCTGCATTGTTTATAATGTTTTTGGCTGCAAGTAACAGCAAGCCAACTCAAGCTGGCTTCATCAATAAAGAAAATGCGTCCTCTCACATGACAAGAGGTGGGGTGACAGCAGGGTTGGTAAAGCAGTAGCTCAATGTCACAAGCACGGACCTGTGCTCTGTCCGTCTCTCTACTTCCTCCGTGGTCACAGGATGGCTGCCACAGCTTCAGACGCCACCACATCCACACCAGGCAATGGGGGAGAATGCTTTCCAGAACCCACCCCCAGCCTCTAGCCAACTCCTCTCATGTCTCATTGACCTGAACTGCATCACATACCAATGCCTAAACCAGGAGTCAGAGAATTTTTTCTGTAAAGGGCCAGGATAGTAAATATTTTTGGCTTTGAGGACATACATTTGGTTGCAACTACTCAACTCTTGGAGTGTGAAAGTAGACGTAGGTAATGCATTAACAAATGAGAATGGCTGTATTCCAATAAAACTTTATTTATAAAAACAGGTGGCCGGCTAGATATGGCCCGTGGGCTGTGGTTTGCCCACCCCTGCTCTAGATCAGCCACCATCACAATCAGCTTCAGGACACAATTGACTGTGAAACATGTCACAGGCAATTTGTTATTAATTTATAATAACAATGCTTGTAAGTGGCTTATTCTATTCTCTGCTGGCATCTAACAAAGGATACTCAAGAGGTTCTAATTCATAACGTTGAACATAAGATCTCCCAATAGGCAGGCAGATGAGCAGGGCGCAGCAAAACTGGGGCATCACAATAAAATCAGAATAAAATTTCAAAGAAGTTCTTATGCCCTAATGAGTATCAAAGTAGACACTGAGGGAAGACTCAGAACTTGGTTAAACTTTGTTCAACTTACTTTACAAATTTAACATTTATGAAAATATTTAGTTACATTTAGGGCTCATTATAATCCCCTTGAAAGTCTAAATTCCATTCTTGATGCTTTAGAAACTGTCTTCATATCTCCTTTTTGTTTCTCCTGTACTGAAAGTCAGGACTGAAAAGAGCCTTAGCACTCAGTCCAAACCCCAAATTTCAGAGTTGAGGGAATGGAGGCTTAAAGAGGGCACGCTACCTTCCCTAGACCACACAGCCACTCAGTGGCAAAGCCAAGACCCAAACACAGACTGTGGCAGGTTGTAGTGTTGTTCAAAATATCTGCTGCCCCTCCCAGGAGGTGGATTATACAGCTTCTTGCAGGGACAAGCTTGACCGTGTGCCTAGGGGTGCCTCTTCCCGCAGGCAGAGTGTGTAGCCCCCTCCCTGTTGAACTCAGGTGCGGCCATGTGACTTGTTTTGCCCATGAAACATGGGAGAAGTGGCACATGTCACTTCTCATTGCCATGTCTGTCTGCCATCTGCCACAAGGCTGGTGATGTTCTAGACAGAGACTGCTCTGCCAGCCGGGGCTGCAGAGTGAAGAGAAGAAGCACAGGCACAGCTGACCCGTGAAGGACATGTCACATGAACAGGAAATAAACCACTGAGATTTTGGGCTGTTTGTTACCACCACACAACTGAGTCTGTCCTGACCAATGCACAGGCTGTACGACTCTGAACACTGGGCTCTTTCTCAACTGGGGCATCTCTGGTATGCAGCAGCATTACCTGGAACTGAAGAGCACACACCATAGAGTCAGCCTGCCTGGGCTCAGCAGTGTGACGTTGGTCAGGTTACTCTCAGTGTCTCAGTTTCCTCATCAGTAATACGAAGATAAAACGGTACCCACCCCACAGGGAGATGGTGAGGATTCAATGAACTATGGCTGTGTTTTGAGGAATACTGGCTAAACGTTGGTTATTATTATTCAACATAGTCTCTCCCCCGCTGACATTTCAGTGACAGTATGGGGTGGGGGTGGGGGGCTCACTGAGACTGTTTCATGTCATTGCACATGCGAACAGCAGCCATCCCTTCAGAAGCCGCTCTCCCCCCATGCGATGCTGACCACCATCACATCACTGATCTGCTACAGGCAGAGGGCAAGGAGCATGAGGAACACTGTTGTGGAGGAGTTAGGAGCAGGGGCCCTACAGTCAGACTGGTTAGGGTTCAAATCCTGTCTCTGTCCTTTCCTTCCTGTGTGTCTGCAGCTAAGTTACTAACTTCAGTAAGCCTCAGTTTCCACCTCTGTAAAATAGGAATAATGAGTGTCCATCTCATGGGGTGAGGTGAAGAGTCAATGAAATTATTCATGAAAAATGCTTATCACGGTGCCTGGCACATCACAAGGGCTCACCAGAGAGCAGGATGGGTATTCTTTTCTGGACAGAACAAGCCAAAGGGAGTGTGGGCAGAAACAAGTGGTAGGGGTGATTCATCTTTCAGTGCATCTGAATGACCCACAGGAATCACGTAGCCTCAGCTCTCCCCTGCCATCATGGAAACACCCTGAAATCATAGACTGATTGTCTGGTTGGTGCCAAGTTGACGGAAAATAAAGCACCCCTTCCCCCATCACACAGCTGGCATGGATTCCCATGGCCAGCAAGGACTCTCAGATCTGGTTGCCACATGGGGTAGTCATTGATATCCATTGAGGACATGGCCACACTCAGCTTAGGGCAGCTGCTCTGGAGCCCATTGGATGTGGGTTTGAGGACCGCAGATCAGGGTCACATGCCATGATGGGGGAAGGCTCCAGTCAGGGTGGTGGACCATTTAAAGATGCGCTGTGTCCCTTCACAGGGAGATCCGAACTTGGCATGGAGCTGCCTGTGAAAGGAGCCCCTCATTCATGTCCTTTTCAACCATGTCCTTTGTAGTGTACGCTCTTCTGATGGCAGAATCACTACCTAGCTGCCTTAGCCAGGGTCTTAACGCTCACCAGACTGGGAGCTCTACCTGCGGCCAGTTGTGCCTGCTTCATCTCTGGTCCTGCAGACACTTGCCCAGGCCTGGCCAGAGGAGAGCTAGAGAATGATTTGTTAGAGGCAAACCCCACCAGCCCAGCCCTTGAGATGCTGGTTGATGGCTTGTCTGCTGTAAATCTCAACGTCTCCAGATTAAGCCCTCAACATGCAAATACACCTGCCAGGCTCTGGCCTGTGGTTGAATGAGTTCATCATGGTGTCATGCACTCATGCCACCCATTCCTGAGTGCTCATATGTGCCAGGCACTGCCTTCCTCCATGTTTGGAAGGATGGGGAGAAGTATGTGACCAAGACTAAGAAGGGGAGGTGGGTGGGAGACATCGAGTGGAAGCTTTGGTGGCCATCGCTGCCCTGGGCCACATCTAGAGCTCAGCCTGGGGGTTGGGAGGTGAGTCCAGGAAACATCCCTGAAACACCCTGGGCCTTCAATCCTAAGGAATGAGGAACAGCCAGATTGTGGGTGTGCTCTTGGCAAATACTACACAGGAGTCTGTCAGATTTTCTATTTTTTTCCCCAGATGTCACCATGAATTAGCAGCACTCACTCCTGGGCTACTGGAATATGTCTTCACTGCCTCTGTCAGAGCAAATCTTGAGGTTGGAAAGAAAGGCTTTTATTTGGGAAACGTTGTGAAGGTTTATTATTGAGTCAATAGAGAAAGCAATAAGGGTCTGTGAGAGGAAATAATACAGAAATTGGAATATCTTCAGTAAAATAATTGCATGGCTACATTTCAGGGTGGTTTAATTTCCTACTGCATTTTAATGACCAATATAGAAGATATAAAAATGTCATTTATAGAGAAACTCCAACATTTTGTTTTCTTGGTTATTCTAATAGATCAAATGGAACATGCAATATGATTTAAAAAAACTTTTTTTCCACAAAACACTGTAATCAATCTTTCATGTACAGATCTGTGTAGTTATTGCTTGTCACATACTCAAAATAGATGTGAGTAGGAGTTAAACAGGAAGAAAACTCTGCTCTTTTCCCTTCTGATAACAGGGCAGGAAATCTTTACCAACTCCATCCTTAGGCATTTTCCCATTCTGTTTACTTTGACCAGTTTTTAACAGAAGGTTACAATGTTTCCATTCTCAGGCACGGAGGTGGTATTGGTGGGGCACATGAGGGACCTTTAGAGTTTTATGAGGTGAGGGACAGTTTTTTAATCCACTAGCTTTTTCTGCTTCTGTTCACCACCCAGAACCAACCCCACGTTCACTAAGTGAGGTCCGGAGACATGGGCTGGGTGAGGTGGGGAAGCAACCTTTGCCCCAGCTCAACTGGTACATCAGGGGTGGGAGGGACGGTAGACCAGGGCTGCCTGCTGAGATGACAGCCCCTCCTCCTGCAGGCTCATCCACTCATCTCATGCATCCTCCTCCTCCCCTAAAACCAGCTGATGTGGTCCCCGGAGGGACCTTTATAATCGAACTTTGTTTTCTGCTGCTAGTAACATTGCAAATGCAGAATCTGGCTTCTCAGCAAGAACTTCAGGCTTATCAAACTCGACCACCTGAAAGAGAAGAAAAGCTGAAATTGTCAGAAGACTATCTACCCACCATAGAGCCAAAACCGTTGAAGCCTCTGGGGAGGTAACACCGACAACTTCCTGCACCTTCCCATTTTCCATGACCAGGACCAGGTCACAGTTGAGGATCGTGTTGAGGCGGTGGGCGATGGTCAACACTGTGCAGCCTTTGAAGGCATCTTTGATGGTACTCTGAACAAGGGTGTCAGTCTTGGAGTCCATGGAGGCAGTGGCTTCATCAAGGAGAATGATCTGTTGAGGAAGGAGAATTGTAAAAGTCACATTAAGCCAAAGCTGTATCTAGAGGGAAATTTATAGTCTTAGTTCTATCTATGAAAAAAGAAAAGAGGAGCTGAAAAGTAATGAGCTAATTCTCCATCTCAAAAAGTTAGAAAAACAGCAACAAAATAAAGTTACATCACATCACTTTCATCTTCTTCAGAAGGACTGGCTGGAGAAACAAGGTTGTATATTCTTTACCCCTCTTCTTAAGTGGTTTATTCTAATCCTACAAACTGGTAGGATCAACACTCCACAGGCTTTATCTACTGTGCTAACATGAGTCAGTATGAGGTATAATGACAGCACTTGTATTAGTTTCCTATTGCTATTATCACAAATTAGCACAAATTTAGAGGCTTACAGCAACACAAATTTATTATCTTACAGTTCTGGAAGTCAGAAGTCCTAAAGCCAAGGGGTTGTCAGAGCTGCATTCCTTCTGGAGGCACTAGAGGAGAATCTTTTTCCTTGCCTTTTCCAGCTTCTAGATGCTCCTGCATTCCTTGGCTCGTGGCCCCTTCCTGGCATTGCTCTAACTTCTACTTCCATTGTCACATCTCCTTCTCTCTTTCTGACTCTCCTGCCTCCCTCTCATAAAGACCTGTGTGATTACACTGGGCTCACCCAGGTAATCTAGGATAATCTCCCCATCTCAAAGTCCTTGACCTAATCATATCTGCAAAGCCCCTTTATCCCAGGTAAGGTAGCACATTCACAGGTTCCAGGTACCAGGACATGGACATCTTCGGGGGGGCCATTATTCTGTCTACCTCAGTGCTGATGGCAAGTCACAGGGCTTGAGCTCAGCTCTAACTCTGCTTGACTTTGACTAAATTACTTAACTTCCCCAAAGCTCCGTTTCCTTGTCTGTAAAGGGGTTATACCTCATGAGTGTGAAATGCAAAGACAACACATAAACCACTTAGCAGTGTGCAGTGCCACAGTCAGCACTGAGTGTGTGCTGGCTCCCTTTCCTGCTATTAGCACACCTAAAGAACACACACTATGGATTACACTTTGATCGAGGTTCAGAGAATGGGATTTCTAAAGCAACAGCAATCCCTTCCTTGAAATCAGTAAGCAAGGATGGCTAAGTCACTAAGGAAAACGCGTCTAAATTTTACAGTTCTCCTGTCCTAGCATTCTGAAGGCCTTCTTTAGTGTCCTGGGTACTGTTTTTCAGGCCTCAGCATTGTTCAGGGACAAAGGGAAAAAGTTGAGAGGCAGGTTTATCAAACTCAAACCACTTAGGAGGACAGAGAGAATACCTAAACAAGACCGCCCAAGGGGAGGCCCAGCGGAGGCAGATGTTAGTGCTGTAAATGGCTGTTTTTCGATTTTTACCCCTCACAACTTTTTCTTAAGAGAAAGTGATCGGTTTTTAAATGTCTCAATTGCTCTCTCTTTGCTGAAAGACAAACGCATGGCTCTACCTCCTGGATTGAATGGCACTGCAGGAAATATCGAAAATTTGACCAATCCATTTTCCGTGCTGTTTCCTTACTTTTGAATTATGGAGAAGTGCTCGGGCTATACAAAGCAGCTGATGTTCCCCTACTGAGAAGTTTTCTCCATTTTCTGTGACTTATGCCTGTAATTTTTCCGGGAGTTTCATTATCTATAAAACACAGAAAATGCCACATTTATGCTGATGATCTATAAAATGGTCTTGCATCAGCTGTATTGATGGCCCCCTTCTCTTGCATTCATCAGCTGGCTTTATTTTACTGTGGAAAAGAAAGTGCAAAACAACAATCATTTCAACATCACAAACAGGCCCCAGGGAAAGACCAGGGAGTAGGCGGACATTAATAACCTAAAATCACAGTATGAGTCATAGAAGCCCATGGACACCTTGCCAAAAGAGTACAGATAATGCATATATGTCTCCAGAGAAACACAAACAAGCATAACCGGCTTCCAGGGTCCCTGTTTCCACAGACAAACTAGAGACGGGGCAGGAGAGTTTTCTAGTCATCAAGGAAAGCTAAGACAGGGTTTGATTTATCCAGCATGACAAGTCAAAGTGGCTGTGGGAGATGCTCACCTGGGTGCCAAGACCTGGGGAAAAAATCCCCTCTGGACTGCAGAGTGGGCCATGCTCACCCGCTGACCCCAGCTGCAGGACTTACAGGACAGGACTCCATCTCACAGATGGCTCAGTCCACTCAAAACCAGCCATACTTGCCATTCCTGAAGCAGGCCACACCCCCCCACCTTCCTGTGGCTTCTCTGTTCTGATAAGAAAATGAGGCTATTGGCAGGGCAGTAGGGTGCTCCATCTGCTCTAGAGTCAGATAGACTTGGGGTCCAGTCTCCATTCTCCATTCTCCAACATTAGCCTGTGCATGTTACTTCCTTGAGTCTTAATTTCTGCATCTCTAGAAATGGGAGTAGGAGTACCAACCTCAGAGGGTTGTAGTCAGGAGCATGTGAAATAATGCATGTAGAGCTCTTGACTGGATCATTGCAAAGGCCTGGAAATATTATCTACTGTTGCTTTTAATAGTAGAGAGTAAATAAGGATTGTAGTCTACTGATATACGTGCTGCCAACAAATAAACCTGGCCAAATGCTGGCCCAGTGCTTGTCGAATTTAAACCTGGGCCAGGCATCTGGGGCACTGGTGCAGGGAAACGGACTCATCCTGGACAGCCCCAGGAACCTACTGTGTCTCTCATGAATGTTCTCTCCAGAACCTGCCAGAGCATCTCATCCATGTGACTCTCAAAGGGATCCAAGTTGTACCTGCAATGAAGGAAAAGAGAGGCAGCTGGATTTCCAAGGCGGAGAAGATGGGGAGCATGTTTTCTGCAGCATGTGGGGGAGACTAGGAGGTGGGTGTAATGACCCTGTGGCTCCAAGAGCCACACTTAATAAAACACCAACCTCAGGCCAAGAGACCAAGGATCCACGACTGTGTGATGGCCCAGAGACCACCAAGACAGGCAGGAATATGTGAAATGCTGCCAAGAGATAGCCAGAGCCAGGCCCTCAGGAAGACACATTTGGCCCTTTCAGCAGCTATGAGCAGCAGAGTGGACTGGACCTTACGCAAATTCTTGGCAGAGAGAGGGAGAGCAAGCAATTCAATCTTCCATTGCATTCACTCTGCCTTCAGAAGCAGGAGGTGCAGCTGCAGCTCCCAGGGCCTTGCAGAGGGTGAGCAGCTCATTTGCGGGGTGGAAGTCTAGCGTTTCAAGACATGGAATGCATTTTTCATAAAACTCTACATACAGCTCTCTACTTCAACCTGTGCTCAATGGAGGAAACGTCCATCTCAACAGAGGGGCAGCCACTGCACTGGACTAAGTGAGAAACTAGTTTTCTCCGTGTGCCTTGCCGTCAGATCTTGAGGCTTGCAGAAATTGCAACCCTACTGTTCTTGTACTTGGACAGCCTCTGTTCACTCCTTAGTGGGAATGAATTGACACACTTCCCAACAGATGGCTACATGCGAAGGATAACTATTTAGTTGAGAAAACTGGGGTGTTTTGAAAGTGGCCATTGCTAAACCTGATAGGATGCCAAGACTCAGGACTCTCCAGGGCCAACAGGGACATCTGCTCACCTGATGGATAAGCACTTCGCTTATTAGTCATGTAGTTTATAAAATACAAGTCATGTTGAAGGACCTAGTCCTCGGCTCCTCCCAAGGAAGGCTTCACTTGGGAACAGGCACTAGCAGAGATTCCCTCAGATAGAACAGCCCCAGGCCAGCCACGCTGCCGAGCTTCACAAAGTTCCTGGTTGGTCCGATTTCACTATCCAAAAATAAGAAGGCAGAATGATCAAAAACAGCTACCTTACTGTACCTACAAACAGGACAGGGTCCTGGGGTATCACAGTCAGCTTGGTGCTGAGGTCTTCCAAACCAATAGTGCAGATATCCACCTCATCGATGAAGATGGTGCCGCCGGCTGGCTCCACCAGACGAAACAAAGCCATTCCTAATGACGACTTTCCTGGGAACAATAAAAGCAAGAAGAGTAAATCACACATCAATCTGTCCAAGTGTCTAATCAAGGGAATTTTTAATGCAATGAGAATGGCTCTGTGCAGATGACTGTGCAGACAGGAATTCCTCACTCTTCAGGGGCCATCGGCTGCCCTAACACAGTTCACCTGCCCATCCCTGCAGGGCTGTTAGTACAAGACTCATCCTCTGGGCCTCATTTCACCAGAATGATCCTCATTTAATTAATTCAAAAACTGTCGTGTGTTTTCTTCCAACTCCACACACCCATTCAATCTGAAATCCTAATTTACAGTAAAGAGGATTGAGGGAAAGGGCCAGCCAATCTGCCACACATAGACATTGCCCTCTTGTTTGGCTTAACTACCACACTCAGTGGAAATGCAAATAAAACAACCTGAAAGAAACACAATCAGAGCTTGTCCTCACCAGACCCTGTTCTTCCGACAATCCCAACTGTCTGCCCACTTTGGATGTTCAAGTTCAGCCCATCGAGAACAAGGGGAGTGTTGTCTCTGTATCTCATCTGATAGTCTCTGAATGTTATCTCCCCACAGCTGGGCCAGTCATGGGGACAGGTCTCCACTTTCAGGGGGTGAGTGCATTCAGGAACACAGGTCTGAAAAGCAGAATAACCAATGATAGGTTAATAGTCATTTGCTTTTCCATTCATTTAATTTATTCATTCATGCACACAATTCTATGTACTGGTGTTCATGGTGATGAACTAGACCAATAAGGACCCTGCATGCAAGAAACTCACAGGCCAGTGGGGAAATCAGATAATAGATAAGAAAAGAAATCAGAAATGAAAACAGAACAGAGTATTGAAATAGAATCTAGAACGTGTGTGGTAGAAGGGGGTAGGAGGAGTAAAAGTAACTTAAGGGTTGAGGAAGGCATCTATGGGGATGTGACATTCAAGCTGTGATGTGGAATGATGAGAAGATGCCAACTACAAGAAAATTTGAGTCCAGAGCCTTCCAGGCAGAGTGGACTGCTGGTGCAAAGGCCCTGAGGCTTTACCCACAGGACCAGTTTAAACTGACCCCATCTTACCAATAACAGAATGCTAAAGCTGTCTTGTAAGGGCAGCAGGCCAAAACTGCAAGTCATGTAGCTGGAGCATGTGCAGCGGAGAAAATTTTGACCTGAACTAATACCTAGAACCAAAGATTCTGCCCCCCATGGAACCAAAAGGACTGGGACATAATCAGAACTTGAAAGATGGACCCTTTTCAGAAGCCAGGGGTCCATCATCCAGGAAGATCTGGTGTTAAAGCCCCTTTCTGTACCTTACCATAAATGGTCTTGTCTGGAATCCTTCCAATAAAGACCTGTCCTGTCAGTGCTTCCACACACCAGCCTGCCCTCCCTAATCTCTTAAATTTACCCCAAACCCTGGATCAGGGAGACAGATTTGAGAGCCTTGCCTCCTGTCTCCTTGCCAGTTGACTTTGCAATAAAGCCTTTTCTTTTCTCAAAAGCTGGTGCCATAGTATTAACTTCTACACATGTCGGGCAGAAGGCCCTTTTGCTTGATAACAAGGCCAGAACAAGCTGGCCCTTTGAGGAACAGAAAGAAAATTCATGTAGCTAGAACTTAGTGAACTGAGAGATGGACAACTATAAGGGACAGCTCATACCAGGCCTCGTGGGCCTGGGCAAGTGTCAGCACATGACCTTGAAGCTATGTGACAAACCCAGACCAATCCTTCAGATTTGCAGAATTCAATCAGATACAATTTCAACATCTGCAAGAGTCATCATGGTGTTAGAAATAGGAAGATAACAAGAATGCAGGTTGTCAAGTTCAAAGGCCTTTAGATTTCCATGGAAAAGACATTTAAGCTTCCTAAGAGCCCAAGAAACACAATGTCTGATTAAGGAGTAGAGCTACTTGGCTGCATTACAAGACCAACCCCTTCTCTGAAGTTATGAAGTCCCTGTTAGTGACAAGAAATAGGGCTTGTATGTACCCAGCTAGGGTGGTTGACCAGCCCAAATCTGATTGATAGACAACACAATTAGCTGAGAAAATAATTGTATTCCTAGATGGTGAGTATTTTTAACCCCTAAAAGATTTAAAATTAATACTAAAAATATTTAAGAGAAGTAAAACAGCAACAGTAATATTTTTAGTTTAAGGAGTCTGTGTATCTGGTGATCTAAGTATTCATAATATTAATAACATTCAGGCTTGTGATTCTAATTTAAAATGTATAATTGAATAATTTATTTAAACATGATTTTAAGTTAAAAGCTTACTGTTTATGTATAGCACTGTGATTGTTATGCAAACAAAGTTCACTGTATTTACAAGTTTAATTTATTAGATTTATATAACCTCAGGAAGGTTTGTTTTTAAATCAGATAATCGAGGTACTTAAAAAGGAAATAGAATGTATTAAATTTTAAAATGCAGTTTAAAATGTTTTAAAGTGTTTAATTAAGTTTGTAAATGGGGCCCAGTGCTATTCAAAGGCCCTTAAAACTGATTGCTTGAATTGGCTAGACCTCTTTTCAATGAATAGCAGAATTTGTAAGTTGAACGTAAAAGCTCTTAAAGAAGAGTTCGACTGCTTTTTTTTCAATGTACAATTTTAATCAATCAAATATTAATTTTTAGAAACTAAAGTAAGCCACTGAATTCTCTTTTCTGTGTATGGAAACTGCCCTGGAGGAAATTTTTTTTTCAAAAGTACCTCTCCCTCAATTCAAGGGCTTTAGATTGTATTGTAAATATGGGTTTTAAGAAGAGGGGTTGTGGTCTGATTTCAGTTTTTAAAAAGATCCCGTTCTTTTTAAAAGAAAAAAGGTCAAACATAAAAAGATCAAATGCTGGCACAAGTTCTGCAAGAGTTAACTGTCCCTCCTCTTGCGTGCATTAATTTCTTACCAAAATATACTCCCTGAGCAGCTCCATGGAGGTGAACTTGGCCTGGGTCTCGGTTCCTGTCCGCACACACACTTGGAGCAGCCCACTTAGCTATTGAAGAGGGACAAGCAGCCGCAGTCAGAGCCCCTGCCCGCCCGGGCAGCCCTTGGGAGTTATCCATCCCCGCCTCTCTCAGGACCACACAAAAAGTAGGCTGCGTTCCCAGCCAAGTGCCCAGAAGTAAGGATGCTCCTGTTGGGGTGTTTTGCCTTTAAATACTTCCTTTGTATTTAGAAACAAATGGTAATTACATTTTTCCCTGGCACACCAGATGGTGAGAATCATCCCACCACAGCACCACTCCATCACACACCTCTGGGTTGGAGCTGTGGGGAACCGCCGTGGAGCGGGAATTCTCCCAGGGCTGCAGAACTGCTGGGTATCGGCCGCTTGCTGCCACCTGGTGAGGTCCTGTACTTCTACACCCTCCCCGCTTCCCCCCACCCCCCGCAGCCAAGAAGCGACTGGACTCCAATCACCACAGATCATCGGAGGAGGGAGAAGACCATCAAGCCCATCAGCTTGCTTCAGACATGAGAAGATCTCGGCTCAGATGGGGGCATATGGCTTGCTAAGGTCCCTCACCTTAGGCCAGGATCCCCCAGAAGCCAACCCTGAGATCTGAGTGCAAGCAGTGTATTAGGGTAGGTTGAACCATAGTCCTCCCAAAGGATACGTCCACATCCAAATCCCTGTGACCTGTGAATGGTGCCTCATTTGGGAAAAGGATCTTTGCAGGTGTAATTAAGGATCTTGAGATCATCCTGGATTACCTGGGTGGGTCCTAAATCCAATGACAAGTGTCCTTATAAGAGACAGAGGAGAGGAAGATGCAGCGAAGAGGAAGAGGGGATGTGAAGGCAGAGGCAGAGATTGCAATGATGCAGCTCCAAGCCAAGGAACGCCAAGGAATGCCAACAGCCACAAGAAGCTGGGAGAGACAAGGAATGGATTCTCCCCTAGAGCCTTCAGAGGGAACATGGCCCTGCGAACACCTTGATTTTGGACTTCTGACTTCCAGAACTGCAAGGGAATAAATTTCTCTGGTTTAAACCACTAGTGTATGGTAATTTGTTAGAGAAGCCCTAGGCAACTAATCCAGAAGGTGGACCCAAAAAGTACCAGTAAGGGCTGGGAGGAGGGAGGCACGGAAGAGAAAGTGAGTCATGAGAGGTTCAGCGCAGTCCCGCTGGGGGCTCTGGGAGACTGCCTGGGACACACTCGAGTTGTCCCGAGGAAGCTGGGCTACATCTCCATGAACTCCCTTCAGTCATTGCTGGGGCCGCTCCCAGCTGGGAGAACTCCCCGCACCTGCAGCTGGCCTTGGGCTTGGACTGAGCACCTTCCCACAGCAGTAGGAGGCCAACTGGCTGGCCCAGGAAGGGTAGGGCACCAGCAGCACCTGCCTCGGTCACAAAGTGGGCTAGAGACAGGACCAGGTCTTCTGTCACTAGGTAAGCAGTGACTGCGGGCTGGCAGGATGAGACACAGGCAATTCCAAGGGATGTAAGAATGTCAATAAAACAGGATGATGTGAAAGAGGGGCTGGGGCTGGCAAGCTACCTTCGTTAGGATGGTTAGGGAAGACGCACTGAGGCATTTATGATAGGAAATCCGCCAGGCAAACTTGGAGTAAGAAAGCTCTGGGTAGCAGCGAGGGGCCTTAACAAGAAGGAGGCAGTGTGGCCCGAGCAGGTGGAGAGCGATGTGGGTCCAGACCCTCAGAGAACCCCACTCAGCAGGCCTCCCTTGCTGCCTCCCTGCTTAATATGTCACTGGCTTCCCATTTCTCTTAGAGCAATGGCTCTCAATCTGGGTGATTATGGCCCCAGAGGACATTTGGCAGTGTCTAGAGACATTTTTGGTTGTCACCACCAAAGAAGGAGGGAATTTCTACTGGCATCTCCTGGTTAGAGATCAGGGAGGCTGCTAACATCCTACAATGCATAGGACAGCCCCTCACAGAAAGGATTATCTGGCCCAAATGTTGACAGTGCTGCAGCGGAGAAACCCTTCTTAGAAGGTAGACAATACCCCTTCTCATGCCTGACAAGGTCCTGCACAGTCTATCCCTGCCAGCTCCTCAGACCTATCTCTCTCCTACTCTGCTGAAGCCACATTCTGAGTCCCTCACGTGTGCCAAGCTCGTCCTACCCTTGAGCCTTTCCCCGGCCCCTCGGCCTGAAAGCACTCTTGCTTCCTTCTTCCTTGGCTGGCTCTTCACCATTCAGGTATCAGCTTGGAGGTCACCTCCCAGAGAGGCCTCCTCTGACTGTCAGAGCTAACGTTGCTTCCCCTGACAGTCCCATTACTCTGCTTTATTATCTTCACAACACTTCTGAAGCGTTGTGAAGTTTTCTCATTTATGTACTTGAGCACTTATTTATTCCATCCCACTTTATATCCCACTGAAATATAAGTTCTCTGAGGGCGGGGACCTGTCCAGCTTGTTCACTGCTGAATCCACGGCAGCTGGCATGGTTCTGGCTCATGGCAGGTTCTCAGTGGATATCTGGTGAGTGAATGAATGAACCCTGCCCTTGAAAAGAGCATACACATATTTCGTTAAATTCAAGGGTCTCAGCTCGTCAAGGCCCGGGGCAGCCCTACCAGGTTTAGAATTCCCACGTCAGCACAGTGCTGGCTCTAGTCAGCACTCATTCTCCTCTGTGATGTCACGTGGTGTTACTTTGCACTCACTTCCTGCTCTGTGGGACTTCACACCAATTTCTCGTCCATCTAGAGAGCCTCCTCTGTTCTCAGGGGAAGCTCTGTCATTCAAGGTCTGTCTTCTCCAAAGGGGGCTAATGCTCAATAAAGCCACAAAGCCAGCTGGAGGAGAAGCGTTCCCCAGATCCCAGTGTGTGCAAATTCTCCAGCCTCACAGAAATGTTTGAAAACAATCTCATGGAAAGCTGATGGTATCCCCCCAAAGCATGACCTCAGTTGAGGAAAGCTGTTTCTCTTGGACCAAGTAAGTGAATCTATTCAACATCATCTGTTTTATATTTTACTAGGCAACAACAAATGAAAACATTCTTTAACGAGGGAAACTGGCAATGCAAGGAAAATTTATTTTTCCCACTTAAGATAGAGTCCCGAGAATATACTTTTGTTCCTCTTCCTTCCCAAAATACCATTAAAATGATATCAGAGAGATTTTCAAAAAGGAATATACCTTTAATGGCAAGGGAGTTGGGAAGAAATGTCATTGAATAAGAGAGTTATAAATCTCTGGAAGATGAAAAGAAGATGAAAGCCTTTTGAAAACATGGAGGCAGAATGCGCTGCAGGGGCTCAGAGAGGCTCCAGGTGTGAGGAGGGGCCCACACAGAGGCTGAGTAATAGGTAGTCTGTTGTCTAGTGGGACCGTTTACCTGCCTCCCCTATTCTTTCTCCCAACCAGAGGTAGTGGACACATACCCCCTAGGCCTAAACACAGGCACACACACACATGCGTGCACACACACACAAACTTCTCTGCAGAAACTGAATGAACTACCTGGGGATAAATGGGGCTTCAGATAAAAACCCCTTTCAATCCAGTGTTTGGGTGCCTGAAGACCAGCTCCCTGGCTGCTTTTCTGAAGTGAAGCCAGCCCAAGGAAAAGTCCGACCTACCCGCCCAGAGTTATAAAACTTCCCACCAGGAGAGACCTGGCAAGGCATATACAAAGGCAGAGGAAACCCTGAAAACCCAACCCAGTCCCTCATCCTTAAACACAAATGGATCAAGAGACATATGAACAAAACCAGTGGCATGAAACAGCAAGAATCAGATAAACAAAAAGATAAAACAGATATCAGTCAAAGGAGAGAGGAGAGTTTAAGGAAGGGAGACCTCTAATTAATATCCTCACAGAGATTAAAAAATATATTGTGTCTATTTAAAAATGATTCTTTTAAAAACCCAGAGACTAAGAAAGAGTTTGTAGAAATTAAGAATATGAATATATGATTGCCAGACTTAAAATTCAAAAGAATGGCTGAATGACAAAGTTAAGGAAAATTCTCAGAATAAAGATAAAAACACAAGAACATGGTAAACTTTGAGATAAAGGAAAGGAAATATAGAGGATGGATCAAAGAAATCCAGTATTCAACCAACGTGAGTCACAGACAGAGGAAACAGAGGGAAAGGAGAGGAGGAAATTGTTAAGAGAAGAGAAAGGAAAAAAGGAGAAATTTTTCCAAGCTGTAGAGAGATTTGACTTTAATATAAAAGGACCCACAGCCTTGCACAGAATAAATGAAAAAATACCCACACACAGACACATTGTCCTGGAATTTCAGAGCACCAAGGATAAGGACTGCATCGGAAAAGCTTCCAAAGAGTAAATGTGAGGCATATACCAAGGAAGGAGATTCAGACTCAGATGGGTATCAGACCCACCTGGCCAGGGTTCAAATTCTGCTCTCACACATGACAGGTGTGTGGTGGGCCTCAGTCTCCTCATCTGTAAAATGGGGATTATGGCAGTACCTATCTCATAGGGTTGTTGTGGGGATAAATGAATTAATTTAGGTAAAGGACTTACAACAGTGCCTGAAATAGCATGTGTTTCCCTATTATTATTCCCTACTGTTATTATTATTATTATTTTCATATTATTGTTATTTTCAAAAGAAAAACAGCAAAACAACCAAAAAACAAGTCAGTAAGTATTTGTCATGGGCATTGTGGTTGCCTCTCCAGCACTCTTTTCCCTCTCCCCGTTGTGGGGCAGCTGTGTGACTTCAGGGTAGGATGGGATGGGACTCCATCCTTTGGCCTAAGCCAATCATCCCAAGCCCATCAAGCCACTAATCAGTTCTGGCCTGCCTAAGTTAATCCAGTGAGAGTAAAGTTCAGAGGCTAGGGTAGGAAAAGCTTTCCTCCTGCTTTCTTCCTGCTATAGCCCCCAGAGTCCGCCAGTCACCAATCGTGAAGAAAGTCATCACAGGAGGAGGACAAAGCCAAGGGCTATGATCCAACCATGCCTGAAGCCCACACAACCACTAGACCTTTTAATTTTGTGAGCCACTAAGCTCTCTTTGTTGTTTAAACCCATTCAAGTTGGGTTTTCTGTTACATCCATCCTCCCTGATATACTCTATGCCAGAGCCTCCAGGCCAAGCACAACTTTACACTAAGTGTTACCTGGATGATGTAAGACAATGACAAGCCTTTGGATGAAGCACTGATTGAGGAGAAACTCAGGGTCACCAACAAGGCCACAATGAAGGTGACAATGTTCATGAGGACGTCCATTCTTAGAGCAAACCACCTGAGAGCACAGTTTAAGTATAGGAGGTGGCTGGAGTTTTCATCATTTAGCATCTTAAACCTAAAATTAAGAAATTAGACAAAACAGACCATTAACCATTGACCACAAGAGACATCAGATTCCATTGCCCCTGAAGGTTCTCCTGTCCTACTGGGAAAGGGGGTTCATCAGAACAACTAGTAGAAATTATTGGAAAAAAGTGAAAACCTTTCAATGTTTAAACCCCTAAAGAGTTAAGATTCCTCCACTGGTATAGTCATGAACATCCTTAGGCATTGCTGCTTCATTCTGTTCTAAAATTCCTGAAAGAGTTCTGTCCAGAAGCACCTCTGACCTGCCGTGCTGGCCTCTGTAGGACCGTCCTCCTTTCTGTTTCCACTGTAACTTATTTTCCCCAAAGCTTAGTTAAAATATTCTTCCAAACACTGTGGTGTTTCTATCACATAGCTATAAAGCCTACAAATTCAACTGACAGCATAAGTGACTTAGAAGTCATCTGTGGTCTTATCTGTGTGGTGGGTTAGATTACGCAGAAGCAAAATCACTGGCTGGGATCAAATTGGGACCTAAAACCTTTTGTTAATGCTGTAGCATTTTTGTCTGGTGGCAAAAGCAATACACATCAGAAGCCTAAGCACTTGGGAAAGTCCAGGATAGGAAAGAAAATATTAAAAGAGGGGAGACCCCATCAATCTTGTGGGATTCTCTTGGAAGAGAATCTACAGGAAGACAAAGCTTGAATCTGTTTTGTTTGTCGTGAGATAGTCGATGAATGGCTCCATACACAGGAGCCTTTCCTCATGCCCTGACATTGGAAGGGTCTATGTGTGATGCAGGACTCTTGACAGCCGGTGTTCGGGTCAAACTATAACAGGACTAGCTGCTGACTGAACCAAAGACAAGATGTGATGGCAGGCCAACACTGAGATCCTGGGTGGCGGTGAGGGAAGAGGGAGAGATAAAATTAGATGCAAACTCTGAAGTGTGTGTTAGGTTTTTAAGGAAGAAAAAGATAGGAAAAAAAAAAAAAAGAACATCTATGTGGCAGAGAATGCTACAGATTCACCAAACTCATTTTCTTTTCTTCCTATGGATACAGCTGGACTACATTTCCCAGACTCCTTTGCAGTTAGGTGAGCCATGGGACTGAAATCTGGCCAATGAATGTGCAGAAATGATGGGTATCTTCATCGTGGTCGACACACAAAAATGTCCCAGGGGGTCCTCCAGCTAGAAAGAGACTGTGTACCTAAGTGTGGAGCAGAATCCCCTATCCCTGTCCCATGGACCCTTATTAAATTGTGACTTGAGGAAGAGTAAACATGTATTGTGTTAAGCCCCTAAAATTTGTTATTGTTTGTAAGCATAATAAGCCTACTGTGACTGATATAATTTATATGATATGTTAGAAGTTTGGAGCTGGAAGACTCCAGAGAAATTTACTAAAGCTAATCTCCACATTTTAAAAAGAAGGAAACTGGTCTATCCACTAAGTGAAATGTAATATGGCCTTTAAAATTTCCTTTTACAAGGAATATGTAATAACATGAAAAATGCCATTTAAAAATAAAGCAAGTAAAAATTATTGTAAATACTTAAGTAAAAGAAAAAAGAAAAGATTGGAATGAAATATATGAAAATATTAATAGGATTTGGGTTGGGATCCTGTGGTTGATTTTTTTTTTTTTCTGCATTCTCCTATTTTCTGATTGAACACATTTTACTTTTAGAGTGAAAGATAAAACATGTAAAACCCCATACCAAGGTTGTCACTGAATGATCTCACATCTTTTGGGGCCTCAGACACTGGGAAGAAAGGACACTTGTCTGAGAGAGTTCCTCCTTGATTCTGCCAGCTCTTCATCTATGGTCTGTCCCCAGCAGCCCAGACTTCCCTTCTCAGAGCCAGAGAAGCCATCTGTTTCTGTGACCTCCCGTTCAGGGTCAGGCGTGAAGTGGGGAGCCCTGGAGCAGGCACTCAGCACAGGACTCACTTGTTGATGCAGTCCTCCTTCCTGTTGTAAGCGTGGATGATGCCCAGGCCCTGCATGGATGAGGTGATGTGCGAGAACCAGGGTGACCAGCTGATGTTCTCCAGCTTATTGAGCTCCTGGACTCCTCTGTGGAAAACGCTGTGGGGAAATCACCAGGTGTTAAGAGGGCTGCAAAGTGGAGTCTCAGAGGGCTCACCCTCAGCACATGCAGATCCAACTATGCACTCAAGACAAAGTTTAGGTCAGATGGGTGCTGTCTAACTAGGGAGAAGGGGTTCTCCCCTTCTCACAACATTCTCCTCTAGGAGTGGCCATCCCATTTGTGTGAGAGGTGAGGGTCTCTTAAATCTGGGTCTCAGAAACATGAGCCACTCCTTCCCAGGGTCTCCATTCTGAGTGCTTCATGCAGTGTGAGCGTCCTCACTGCACGAGGTGTGATTCCAGTCTTTGAAGAACAGAGTTGTTCACTTGTTTATACAGAATTGTCTAATTGTTCACAGTGTAGCCCCTAAATACAGACCAACCACTTTTTGGTGCCCAACCAAAGAAACAATGATCTATTCCAATTCTGGAGGAAAATCTGGTGTGTCAACTGCCAATGCGTGGTCTTCTAACCTCATGTTCAAAGGTAATTTTGAACAAACGTCGTCAAAGCCTCAGGAGCTGACTTTAGAAAGAACCCTCCCCAGGAGGCAACTCCCAGGGTGTTGGTGCTCCAGGACACCGGTGAGCAAGACCACTGCCCTTGGCACGCGCATTGCAGGCTGGCCCACGATGGCAAATCTCATCTGCCCTCCAGACTCTCAGCTAAAACTAACCCAGGGGAGAGGAAGGGAAAACCTCGTTTGTTCAGAACTCAAGTGAGTTAGTTGGAAACATTTGGGTAATTCAGTCAGGGCCAGCCCCGATCTGGCCTGTCTTTGTAGCAAGAAGTGGGGGGTGCAGGGCAGAGAAAAACCTTTTGCTAAGAGAACAGACAAGAACAATGGTCTGATGAACACCGGGCTTATAAAAATGAACACGAGCCCAAGGAGTCATTTTAGGAAGTGGCATCTGAGACATGCTTTATTTTTGTAAAGGGCTTTCAGAAATTATATTATTTGGTCATCTCAATAAACCCTTGAAGCTGGACGCTGAAGCCATGTGTCCTTTCTCAGAGACACCAAGGAGGCAGTGGGAGCGTGAAGTGAGAGCCCAGCTCCTCCAACTCCGGGGCACCGGTGCTCGTTCCCACAGCCACACAGGCTCCTGCACAGATGCCGAGGATGCTGAGCCTGACTCTCCAGCCCTGACACGTCCCTACACCCACTGTTGCCACTGTCTGCTGGCACCGTCTGCAGACTTGATCCACAAACTTGAAACATCCAAAACCAAACCTGTAATCTTGATCACCCATGCTGCTTCTCCTCCAGTATCACCTGTATCTCTTTACATCACTCTCCATCTTGGACTCATCCTTGGCCTCTCCTATCCCCCAACCCCAATGACTATCTTGAAAATGGCTCCTAAATCCACCTCTCTTTTCTGTCCCCACTGCTGCTGCCTGTGTCTGGTCCTCATCACCTCTCACTCAGACTACATTTCAAGAGCCTCCCATCCCGTATCCCTGTCCTGATCTTTCCATAGCTCCATCCACCCTCTACACTGTGGCCAAAGCAATATTTCTAAAACTTGGCTCTGAGTGTGGTGTCCCTGGATGAAAACAAACAGCCCCATTTACAAGTGGAGTCAGGCCAAGATGTGTGGGCTTAATCCTTTACAATGTGCTCAGGGCTGAGCACATCTAGGAGCATAATAAACACTTGGTTGAGTTTTATGGAAATTCTAAGTTTATATAACATTGTATTCCATTTCTAATTTACAAGGCACTTATAGTCCTATAGTCTCATTTGATCCTCATCAGAATTTTAACCCCTCCAGATCATGTGTGGCATATGTTTTAATGATGACCATTTTAGAGACGAGGAAACTGAGGCTTGCATCATTCCTCTGACCTCTCCAAGGTCCTCCAGCTAGTTTTGCAGCAGAGCTGGGGCTCTGGTGCAAATTTCTCTGATTTCCAACCCTTTGCCCTCGTGCAATACCCACCATGCTACCTGCTGAGAATTCCAGCTTGCCCCAGGAACAGGAAGGAGCTGGGTCTCCCAGAAGGCTGGGATGGATGCTGCCCTCCTGCTCTCCCCCAGGGTGGGTGTGAAGGTGGGCACAGGGACTCCCCACTGAAGAGCAGCCTGAGTCTGTTCTCTAACTACATCAGTGGTTCGGGTGAGGCTATTTCTCAAAGCTCAGAGACAGAGAGCTGGCCTCCTCTCTCTTCTCCAGCAGCAGGGATGGCAGAGCATCAGGGTTAAGAACATAACAGCAGGCATACAGCAACCACAGTCAAACCCCAGTTACCAGTTTCCTAGCCTGGGACCAGTGACTTAACCTCCCAATAATATCCACCTCCCAGGGTTGCTCTGAGGCTCAAATGCCAGATGTATGCAAAGTGCTTAGCATAGCCCCTGGCATTTCATCAGCCCTAAAAATCAATATGCTCCACTATTCAGAGAAGACAGCAAGGTTTCAATATCACCTGGTGCTACCCGGTCATTGTGCAGAGTTAACCAGATATCTATAGGCTTCGTTTGCTTCTTTTTAAATAGTGCATCAACCTACCATAAAAGGATGAAGACGCCTACAGCAAGGCTGGCCAGGACTAAAAGGACAGCAGGAAACACAGCGGCCAATATCACAAGAAAAATTACCACCATAAAAAGCTGCTGGAGAAAGTTCTCTGCGTGAAACGGCAGCCTCACATCCAGCTCGTCCATATCCTTGGAAAAACGGTTCATGAGCCTGCCAGTGGGAGTCGTGTCAAAGAAGCTCATTGGGCTCTTTAAGATCTGTGGGCAAAATCAGAGAGTCGGCGTCAAGGTGTGTGCTTGGTAAACCCTGGCTGCTCCAGCAGGGCTGGATTGTAACAGCAGGGCCTGAGCTTTTTCCCAGGGCCCCACACAACATGCCAGGCGGTCCTGGGAAAGTAAGAATGCTTCCCATCCTTGTGGCCGCCATGAGTGAGAGTGAATGTGGGGAGGCAACCTGCGGTGCCATTGGAGGGGGGAGGGATTTTGTGCCCAGGGCAATAAAAAGCCAAGTTCCGCTGCATCTGTCTGCCCCTGAAGTATGGGCCACACCTGTGCACTCTGGCCAGGGCCTCACAGCCAGGGTCTGCCACCCGCAGCAGCAGTGGGATGAGGAGGAACCCAGAAGCACTTCTTGAGGCCCTCGATGTACTTGGGGCTCTTTAGAGCAGGAGATGCCCTCTTTGCCTACACGCATCTGCTCCAGTTTCTCCAGGGAAAGCTTTCTGACCACCCCAGCCTAGCCCGAGGGCCCGGGACACCCCCACAGCTCCCTGAAGTTTGCTTTCACTGTTGCAATTAGATATCGGGTGACTCTTCCCAGACTCGACTGTAAACTCCAGGAGGGCTGTGTCTGTCCCTGGAGCCCTGCACAGCACCTGGTGCATCACAGGTGCTCAAGAAACCCTGATGACTGATGAACCGCATGTGCATGCAGCCCCCGGGGCTGTACCTTGTCAAGTGCTTGGTCATGTAGCGAGGAGGATGCCATCAGTGTGGTCTTGGTGAAGGCGAAGACTTTGGTGATGCCAAACGCCAGCATGGACACCATGCTCCCCACGTACACCCACTGGTACATGTGCTGCCCAGTGTCTGCCAGCACCGTGCCGACCTCACATGTGCTGTTAGTGCCCTGGGGCCCACAGGTCATCTTTGGAGGAAAACGAGAAGAAGCACCAAGAATTGCTACTATCAAGCGAATGGGAATATTCCAGAGAATCTTTCCACAGAAAGAAGAAACTAAAAAGAGGTGCACAATTATTAAGAATGAGTCAGGAGGTAAAATCAAGTCAGTTTCCTTTGCAGGCCTCTAAGCTTTGCATGGGTCCTCCTGCTGGGCTGCTGTGACCCCAATGGCCACCTGACTTAACGAGGCTCAGTGCAGCAAAGGGACACACCAGGCAGGCACAGGGCAGCCATCCCAGAAGCTAACTGTGCCTCAGGAGACCAGAGGTGACACTGGGCCAGGAAGATCACAGAAGCAAAGGAAATTTGCACAAAAGCAACTCTCAGGCAGCCCAGACAGGACAGGGATCAGGGACCTGCCTCCAACCTGCTGAACTGCCTGGTGGAAGCCACCAGGCCTTTGGGGAGACTTGGGGGCTTCTTTGTATGATGTTCAAGCCCCACAGCCCCCTTCCTTTCCTCTTCTCAGAGAGTACCTGGGAGGGACTAGTCCACCACCCTGGAGCCCCAGGTGGGAAGGAGGGAGCCTGGTGAGCCAAGGGGCTCTGGCAGGATTCAAAGAGACCGTCCGCAGCTTCGTCCTGCCCATTTTTGCCACCATTTCTGGGGAGAGGCCATCTCTTCCCCTTGAGACATTGGCAGTTTCATTTTTCTCTGAGCTGTGTGCTAAAAGTCAAGACTGCCTTTGGGGAGCAAACAAGCATCTTTCTTCTAAATGCCACTTTGCTGATTATAGCAATAGCAGAAATGTAAACCAGAGGTGGCAGCTGATGGATGAACATCCACAAAAGCAAAGCCCTCCCTGGAGAGCTAACTGATGAAAGACTCAGCAGAAGAGGAGGCTTCGCTGTGCTTTAGGCTGTGCCCACAGTGTCTGGGGGGCGGGCAAACACAGGGGTCTGCCATCATTGCTGCATGCTCGGTTAGCCAATGGCACTGGCCTTCTGGGGAAGCGCCACGCCTGTGAGGAGGCTCCACCTTGACCCGAAACCTTAGGCTGTTTAAGGAAAGCGCTCTTCATGAGCGAGTGAGCATCTGGGGGAACACATACATTCCAGAGATGGCTCTCTTGCTGTTTAGAGCAGGCCACCTGTTGGCTTCTTCCCTCGGGAATGGTCTCAGGAAGCTGTACCAAACTCTAGGAGGGCTGTAGTGGTCTCTCCCCTGCCCATACCTCCCCAATGCCTTCTCATTTTGGTTGTCATAGCAACAGAATTATATCAAAATGTAATCTTGGAGGATGGGCAGGCAACCCCACAGCATTCCCTGGGGCTCCAGGAAAGCTTTGAAACCATTGGCTAAAAGCTGGGAGGGCTTCCAGCAAACTCTAGTGAGAGCAGACTTATCAGTCCTTCTCAGGAGGGGCTCTGGCTTAAAGGAGAGCCTTGGGAGGCAGAGAGAGACACCCAGTGGCCTTGCAGCAGATCCAGGGACCGAGTCTCTTGCATGTCTCCTTTCTGTAGAAGGACTTTGAGGAGCAGAGCCAGGTGACTCTGACATCAGGCAATGTCAATGACAAGATGCCAGTCTCTCTTCAGAGGCAGGAAGACAGAAATCTGTGTCAGGCTTCCCTAGCCCCTCCCAGCCCTTCCTCAGAGGCACCTAGCAACAGAGGCAGCAAAACTGACCCTAACCTGCACAGGCAAGACCCCATAGACATGTTGCACTTGCCTGGCACAATCTTTTTAGCCAATCCTTTAAAAATCTGAAGCTGGCACACAAAGACCCAGAGGCCCTGTTTGTTTTGAAAAATCCAAGGGGATTTCGGGAGTTGAATCGTGTGTTGTAAGCAACTGACCTCAACTTCAGGAAAAGGGGCTGCAGGAGGCAAATGAGCTCATTGTGTGGTGTTGGGCACATTCAGACTCTGTCAGCAACTAACCCAACACTTTCCAATGCCGAAGGGAAACTCACCCAGGAACGCTTGTCCAACCAGAGACTCAGCCACCAGTTGCCAAAGGCGGAGCTGCCAATCATCAGGAGGAAGAGGGACACTGTGGAGAGAGACAGGAGGTACCCTGCAAGAGGAGGTAGAGGTCCCCGGGGTTACAGGGGCAAGGGGCTGCAGGAGGCTTATCTTCCTCAGGGCCCAACCATGATGGGAAGTTCAAAGTCTGCAGCAAAAGGGTCCCTGCCCCTGGGAACCACCTTCTAGGCTAATGTGACAAGTCCGGGTATTGGATCCCTGAAACCCAATGGTGACATCTGTTCCACTTGGTTGAAAAATTGGTCCAAATTGTCAACATATTGGAAAAACCACTATACACTTTAATAGAAGCGACTCAATATTCCTTAATACTTGCTGAGGAGAGACAGGGAGTGAAACTACAAGGTACGTTTTGCACACCGAGATGGGAATCTCGCACTGAAGGCAAGCGATGAGCTGACTACTGTGGTACTTGGTGACTAGAGAGCCCGGTTACAGAAGAACCAGAGCTGGTTCATGCTGCTGCTCCTTCAGCTTCAATAAACGGAGGCTGGCAGCTTTAGTGGGGATACAGGATGATTCCATTTAAAAGGCTGTCTTATCAGACTTGATTTTTAGGGGGAAAAAATAAAAGCATTGATAAACAGCCCTAGCGTAAAGAGAGTAATTGTTAAAGAAATCATAGAACATGAACTCAACAGTTTAAGAAAGGATTTCTTTTAATGCAAATTAAATCAAGAAACCCGTTGTTTTATACCGAACCTCCAGAAGCCTTAATGTACGTGTGATACGTTTTCCAGGTCACAGTTCCTTCCCGGGAGGATTCAGTCTGAACAAGCTGGTGCAGAGGAACTGTGGAGACAAACACACGTCCTGGGGCACCCGCGGGCAGGGTGGGAGTCCAGTGGGCGGGTGCCCCCCTGTGCACACTCCATGCCCCCACTAAGGGCAGTTATCATCCTTCCTTCCATTTGCCCTATGCTTTAAAATTCCCAACACACTTTCACTCATTTTATTTTATTTGATCCTCATTACAGCTCTGAGAGGCAGGTGGCGTTTGGTCTTTTGAGAAATATTCATTAAGCACCTCCAGTGTGCTCAGCCCTGGGGAGTCAGGGGTTGTCTTGGTTTAGTTCTCCAGAAGCAGATCCTAAGAAGAGGATAGGAATATGTGCAGTTTATTCCAGAGCTAAAGGGCGAAGAGAAGAGATGGCAACAATAAAAGGCATCTTGTCATGCCAGTGACCCCTGTGAGCGACTAGAGCTTAACCCAACACAGAGAAATCTAGAGCCAGGGTAGAGTATACACTTCAGAGGTTTTTCACAGGATCAGACGGATGTGAGCTATTTCTATGCCAACTCACAGGGGCCACTGCTGGACCTGTAGTGGCAGCTGCCAGAGAGAGCCCAGGCAACGGAGTGCAGATGTGGCGGTTGGGAGTTGGGCTATGTGCACTGTGGTGCTAAGGGCACCCACAGCAGCTGCTACTACAGGGTGAACAAGAAGGAGGTGATGTCTGTCTTCTCAGAGCTCACACCATGTAGGAGAAACCCAGGGCATCCTCCCAGGTCACCTGTTGCCTGGATTCCTGGTTCCCTCCACGTGGCTGTCCCCAGTCGTTGCCATTTTCCAAAGGGGAATGGAAAATGACCATTAAGTTCTCATGAAACAATATTCAGAGGTTCAGGGATGCTGGCTGAAGCAGCTCCCAGCAGCCAGAACTGAACACACATCTCTGCCCTCTCCTCCAGAGAGAGGCAGGTAAATGTCAGCTCCAAAGCAGAATTCTAAACCATACTTGACTTTTATAGACAGAGATAAATACAGCTAGACAAGGGGGCATCCCTGCACATGGGCTTTAAAGCTGTCACATCTGAAAGGCGCCTCCATGAATACAGCTGCCATTATACCCTCTACCCGGGAACCTTTGCACATGTTTGAAAATGTTCATCTTGACTTTCGCTCATTGTATCTCCCTCTGGGACTGCAAAAGGAGAGATACCTTGGCAGGTTGACAGAGCCTAATGAATGACATCCTGGAGTGCAAAGGAACTGGCTAGATCCCCTTGCAGCCCGCCAGTGCAGTGGGCTGAGGAGTATTGCTGATGCTGGTCAACTTTGCTGCACTTTAGAAAATGCGCTGGTGCCAGGCGTGGCGGGCAGTCCCACGTTCAACTGGTTCTCTTCCAAACCTTTGAAAGCATTTAATTTCACACTTTCACTTTCCTCTCCAGAGAAGGGGGGTGAGGAGGAAAAGAGGAGCAGAGTTTACTCTCTTCACAGGACCTCAAATCCTGGGCAGCCGGGAGCTATCCTGGAGAAGCATGAAAGAGATGGCTGGGCACCTCACTTCAGCCTTGGCAGCCTCCAGAGCGATAAAAATAGGTTGTGTTTCCAAACGTGCATGCGTTTGTCACAAGCACTATTAATGGTGTCAGATTTCATCAGTTCAAAGACACGCATTTTTTTTTTCACATTTGAACATCTCTGAAATCAGGATGTGCTTTCCATTCAGTAACAAGCCATATTATCTAATTGGCAGAGACTTTTCTTCCTAAGTGGTACATAAAATGAGGGTGATCTTAAAACGGATGGCATCTTAAGTTTGATGAAATATACTGTGGTTTTTTTCGGGTCTACATTATTGAGGAACAGAACTCAAACATGGAAAGCCACCTCGCTGTGGGCACTCTGAGGAAAGAGACTGTGGATTTTGATCTCTCCCCTCTCAGTGGCCTGTGCTGGGCACTGAGTTGGTGCTCAGCAAATGTGGACTGGATGAAGGGATGGAAGGTAACAGAGTCTAAGGAGAAGAGACAGATTGACCAGCCTGGCCCTCACAAGGCTCCTCTCCCACATCTCTCCTCCCTGCCTTCCTGGAATTCCCTTGTGCCCTCAACTCCAAATCTTCCCCCTTCTTCATGTTCTCACCAGTGTCCCGGGAAAACTCTTACACATCCTGGAAGGACCAGTCCAAAGGTCGCCCCCTCTGTGAAGCCCTCCCTGACTTGTTACTCCCACCCCAACTCCCCATTACTCTTAGCACAGTTTCCCATGGTTATCCACTTGTCTGTGACCCCCACCAGACCATAAGATCCTGAGGACAGGGGCATATTTTCCTTCTCTTCCCAGCCTAGCTTAGTGCCTGTGGAATGCTTAGTCCTTATTTGTTGAAAGAATGAATAACCTTATCCCAACTTAATCTCTTCACTGCTGCACAATCCTTTCTGAACACTCCCCAGAAAGAGTGAGAAACGTCTGTGTGCTTTCACCTCTAATTCCTCTCTGTGCATTGCTTTGGTCTTTCCAACTAAAATAGTAACTACTATTGAGAGTTACTATACGTCAGGAACTGTGCTAACTATTTTATGTACAATTTCTTATGTAATCTTTGCAAGAACCTATGAGGTTGGTACTATTATTTCCCCATTTTATGGAATAAGAAACTAAGATTCAGAGTGGCCGAGTATCTTGATCAAAGTCACAAAACTACTAAGTGGTGAAGCCAGAATTTGGACTCAGGCAGTTGAACTCCAAGGTTCACACTACAGTAAACCATACAATTCTAGCTGCCCAAAAGGATCTACCCTGTGCCTACACTTCTCCATCCCAAGTGGCAGATGCTCAGCAAATATTTAAGAGTACGAAATTGAGGGATGAATGGTAAATACCTTTTACATCTAGAAATTCTGAGTCTGTTTCAGGTTCGTTTCCTTCAACTTTCTCATCTGTTGGAGCCAAAACTAGGGTGAGAAATAAAGAGAGATCTGTGTCCACTCATGAGCCTTGGGCAATAAGAGAGGTGTGATTGGAACTCTGATTGTACCAGCATCTTTATCTCTCTCAGCAGGGCTCTCCTTAAGGCCTTCCACCATTGCTGCATTGTAAATGTGCTTGGGATCCTGGAGACAAAATGAAATTCCTTCTGAAAGCTAACTGACAGAACCTCTCCAAGGCTGGGAAATCATGAGAGGAGGCACCCAATTTCTCACACCTAGGTGTGCAGAGTTACCTTGAATTGCAACCCTCCAAGGTTGTGAATCAGTTTTGCATAGCGCCCTCTCTCCTCCATTAACTCCTTGTGGGTTCCCTTTTCACAAATCTCTCCGTCTTCTAGCAAAATGACTTCATCACAAGACTCCAAGAACTGCAGAGATATTAAAGTGATCCACAATGAACTTCTGCCTTGGTAAAAGAGAGGAGAGCGCCATGCCAACCTCCCAACCAGCGGCTTCCCGGCTCACCCAGTACAGGGGTTCCCAACCTTGGCACTACTGACATTGAGGGCCAGATCATTCTTTGTTGTGGGGACTGTCTTGTGCATTGTAGGATGTTTAGTAGCCTCCTTGGCCTCTACCCATTAGATGCCAATAGCACTCCCTCCCCAAGCAAAAAAGTCTCCAGACACTGCCAAATGCCTGCTACGGGGCAAAATGGCCCCATTGAGAAGCGCTGATCTGGTACCCACACATCTTATGGGTACAAAAGGGGGCCTTTGGCTGTCACAGTGAAACACATTGGACACTCCCTTGCTATTGCTCCCTACATGAGCTGCTCTGCTAAGAAATCTGATCATGGAGGTTTGGCATATGAAATTGACAGTTATTGCAGCCAAGATTTGATGGCGAGGGGAAATATGACCTCAGTGATAGCCTCCCTCTATTATAACATTATAAGCCCACCTCATCGTCTTCATCTAGCCCAGGACACGCAAAGCATGGTGCAGTCCTTAGCCACCAGGCCACACCCCCTGGCCTGAGGAGTTTACACCAGCTTTATCTGTACAATAAAAATTTAGCTGCATTTAATGATGGCATCCCACATTTAGCCCAAAGCCCTGCTGTTTTTCTCATTTGAGTTCTCTTCATTTCCATATCTTTCTTGAGATCAAAGAGTTCTTCTAAGAGGGGTTTCCTTTCATTTTGGAACGAGCCAGAGTTCTCCCCATAGGATCAACCCATCTAAGGGCAGGAAGTCCCCTCCTAGAAGTGGGCAAGGTGCTATGAGATCTAAAACGGTTCAACCTAAAGAAGCCTGTGCAGTACGGGCCAGAGGCCTTCCCCTGTACTTCAGGGTCTACCCAAGGTCAAAGCAAAGCAATGCTCTTGATTAAACGCCTGAACAAATAGCGACATTTGCTCATTGTACACCTGATGGGGGTGTAGGGGGTGCCCAAAGGCCAAATGACCAGTTTGGATGGCTTTGGACAGCTCCAGCCTTTCTGCTTCCCTTGGACTAACTACCCAGCTGTCTGTCCACTTTCCTGCACAGACCAAGCAGGAACAGCCTGGCTTTTAATGTCCAGTTGAGACACTTTCTGACAGAGCCTTTTCCTGGAAATAACCTCTCAACTTTGCACAGCATCTTCTAACTTTTCAAAGCTGGATCTCGTCTCTTATCTCTCAATCTCCTACACCCAGTAAAGAAAGCAGGCAGCTTTATTATCCGCTCAGTTTCTGGATGGGGAAACCGAGGCACTGTGGGGACCGTGGCAGCCCCTCAGCCTTTTCTGCCTGCGTGGGGACACACATTCCAGCCTCAGAAGCTCCTGGTGAAGCCCCTCTGACCAGCGAGCCCCCAGTTCACTCCAGTAAGACACGGTGTGATTTGAGCAGCTTAGTTCTAAACTCACAAAATCTGACCCTGGGTGGATTTCAGCGGCCGCCACCAGCCTCACTTCATTTGTTTCCTCAAGTAACAGAAGAGCAATCGTCCAGCCCAAGTACTGGGAAGCATCCGGATTGCCTGTGGGCCTGAGAGTAAAAGCAGCGGAGAAATGTTCCGGAAAAGCCCCGGGCCCCGGGGCTCTAATTCCCGGGCTCTGATCCCTCTCCTCCCCAACAACGGACAACCAGACGGAGCTTCCAGTGCCATCTGGTGGTTGCCTGCATTTTTTTAAGATGCAGAAAGGGAGATAAAATGACCTTGGTGAAAGGTAGAATATTTGAGGAGGCCGAGGCCTGAGAAGGAGGTGGTTCTTGCCTGAGGTCACCCTGCCGGCTAGTGGACTGGGGCTGAGATTACGATTCTCCCCCTGGAGGACTCCTGCAAGGACGGCTCTGACCCACATTTGTTGGGGGCCAGGAGCCCCCCTCCAGATCCCCAGGACCCTCAGGAGGACTGCTCTCTCTGCTGCAGGTGGTCTCCAGGGTGCAGAGCGGTCACTACGTTTAGCACCCTGACTGGGCGAGAGCCCTTTCCCAGTCACCTCATGGGGGTCCAGAAGAAATCCAACCTTCTCCTCTGCCCCGGCCCCTGGCCAGCAGAGGAGCTCGGAGCTCCTGTCCTCACTAGCCCAGCTTGATGCTTCCTGGAGGTGACAGAGCCCTCTCAGAGGAAACCCACGCCGTCCCACATGCAAAATTCCGATGCTTGGAGCTTTTTCTGAGAACTCTAGCCCTTGGCAAAGACAGGCACAGGCTGGGCACAAAGCCACAGCGATGGGAGGGCCTGATTTTCCTGGGTCTTTAAGAAACTTCCCCCTCTTCAGGCTGGATCTTCTGGCCACTGACAGAAGATCCTAAAAATGCTGCCTAGAGCATCCTGTAGCCGTGGCAGCGTCATATGCTGCCTCTCTCCCCCAGCTCCGTGGCAGCGTCATATGCTGCCTCTCTCCCCCAGCTTGACTTACCCTCGCAAAGGCAGTGAGACCTGTCTCTAACCCCTAGACCAGGCCCCTGGTTAACATTTTCCCCACAAGTAGCAGGAGAGCAGAGATGACAGGACTTCTGCTCCCTCTGCTCCAACAGGCCTCTCAATGCAGGTCAGTCCTCTGGGGTCTCACCCCCAGCAGGAGATGCGCACGCGTACACACACACTTCTGGGGACTCGTTGTGGAGAGGGGAGATAGAGGCAGTGTAGGACAGGGGAAATCTAGTTTGTTTCAGAGTGGAGGGGGCTTGGATTCCCACCAGGTGAGGCTGACACAGTGACAACTGTCCTCATCCTGCCAAATTCTCAAGCTCATTCAGGGCAAACCCAGTCACTTTCCTCGGCAAGATTCATGTTCCTAAGCCTGAGCGAGTGGCTCTGAGCAGGGAGAAGCTTCTTGCTTTAGCCCCAAGTCCTAGCCTCCAATCCCTTTCCCCTGGGCAGTGATGCCAGGGCTATCTGCTCCCTCCTCCGAGGAGTCCATCACCCTCTGTCGTCCGCACCCAGGCACCTCTGGCCTCAGGCCCACCCAGCCCTTGCTAGAGGAAGAGTGGGGTCTGAACTGTTTCGACTTGGCTTCCCATCTCCTCACCACCAGTGGCCCAAAGCTGGGGGAGATGCTCCATGTCCACCCCACAAACAGAGGTCAACTGCTCCTGGAGAATCTACCCTCTGGTGGAGGAAAGGTCTTGGCCCCACTGAGCTCGAGGTAGGACCCACAGAGGCCATGCAGATAGAGGAGCAGGCAGGGTTATGCGGAAGCCAGGGTGGCTGGGGAGAATCACGAGTGTCTCCTGCGTGCCCTGCTCCCTCCCCCACCGTGTCCAGGTGACAACAGCCTCGTATGGGTGATGCAGGTTCAGGCAGAACAGGAGACTCAGGCGCCACCCATCCCATGATCTCAGTCACCTGAAGCTGGTGGGTCACCAGGACCACGGTCTTCCCCCTGAGTGTCTTCTTAATGCACTCCTCAAAGACGTGCTTCCCCATGTGGGCATCCACGGCCGACAGGGGATCATCCAGCAGATAGACCTCGTGGTTTGAGTAGATGGCGCGGGCCAGGCTGATCCTCTGCCTCTGACCCCCGGAGAGGTTGAGGCCCCACTCCCCGATCTGCAGACAGGGGCAATGCTACTGTCCATCATGGGGCCCCACTCACCACCCTGCTGTCCTCGGGGAGCAGGAGCTTCCTGAAGCTTCTCAAGACTCTTCTGCAGACTGATCATCACCATGTCCTAGCTCCTCCAACCCTTACAGGGATCCCCTGAACCCATCAGTTGCCCTGGGAAGTGGAAAACTCCACTTTTGCAGGGAGCCCGATGGGCAGTGGCAACTAGGGAAAAGCTCTTTCCAGTGTTGAGTGAGGGGTACCCGGCTCACAACAGCCCATCTCAGTGCATATTCCATAGGGAGGGACTATGTCTTGACCATTAAAACCAAAGGGAATTGTTGAGGGAAAAACTCGACAATTTGGGAGAATGGACGCGTGAACAGAAGGGAGAAGAGTCTGGGAGCAGAGGTACAAGAGGGCTCTCTATTTGCTTCCTTGTGGATCAGCTCCCACCCCCACTAGGTAACCCTAAGCTCTATGAAGATGGGAGGCATGTCTGCCTGTTCCTCACTGCATCCCTGAGGCCTGGCACACACCTGGCCCAGAGCAGGGGCTCAGTAAGTATTTGTTGAAAGGATGAAAATCCTAAGTTGCCTCCTTCAGGTAGTTCTATCCACTGACCCCAAAGTGAGCCCCTATTATGTTCAGCCGGGTGCTGGGCTGAGCAATGGGGCGGGACACATGGAGCTGGGCTAGCAAAGTCCCCTCTCTACTGGGAGCTCGCATGTTAGCAGGGTGTGTGGTTAGTTATACACACAATAATGGCACAAAGCAGAATTTAGCAAGCGACAAGTGAGAAGCATAATTGGGTACTTTGGGACAAGTACTTCAGACCATGGGACTTGGGAAAGTCTTCCTCAAGGGCGTGGATTTGAGGTTGGAACTTGACGACTGGTAACGATAGAAGGAGCAGAGGCCTCGAGGCTGGGAGGTGAGCGGGCACTTAGGTGGGCAGGTAGGGGTAGGTAGAAGTCAACCCTGGAAGGGTGGGCTGGGGCTGCAGTAGGGGGCACAAAGGCCAGGCCGGGAAGGCTGTGGTGGCCATTTCCTTGACACAGGCACATGGAGGGCACCAGCAGAGAAAGGCACTGTGCTCTGAACTGGTCTTTCTTCAGGACGCTTTAGCCCTTGGGTCTCCTCTGGGGCTCCTGGGCAGAGTGGGAGACCGTGCAGGGGTGCACTGGGATGGGGAGACAGGAAGGCAGCACGGTGACTCTCCTGGGTCACCTGAGTTGGCAGGCTCAGCCTAGGACCCAGCCAGTTCTTTGGACAAGCATCCCGGGGGCAGTGTTTGGAGGTGACCCTTATATTCCTGAGCTGGGCAAAGCCATTGAAGCAAGAAAGGGCCCTTGAGACTCCAGCCACAATGCAGCACCCCTGGACCTCTGTCTTTGCAGGACAGAGCTGACCCGTGAGGTGAGGAAGCAGATTTTGCCAGAAACCTTCCCTGAGATGACAAGCAAATTGAGAGTGGCCCAGGAGTGACCACACTAAAGCCAACACAAGTGGAGTTGGTGCCACATCCATTGTGATATCCCCCAGGAACAGGCCAGATGGAGAATTCGGGATGGTGGAACCTGACTGCCCCACATTTCCTTGGACCTATCTGTCCTCAGGGCATCCAGATGTGGATGAAACTGGGGCCTGCTGAGCCTCAGCCAGCTGGACCTGGGCGGTCGGGCTGCCATGCCACTGCAGTGGGGCTGAGCTCCCAGTTCTGCTCACCTCGGTCAGGTCTCCGTAAGGGAGGCTGCTCAGGTCCTCCTGGAGGGCACAGACACGAACCGTGTGCTGATACCTAGGGGTGCAAAGGTCAGAAGTCAGACACGGTGAAAAATGCCCTACAACCATTGCAGCCGGGGTTGCCTCTAGAGGCATTGCTGGTGTCACTGGGGCAAGGCGAGGAGGTGGCTAGTTGCTTCGTCTGTGATGTCCAAGGGCAGCTTCCCCTGGACCCCTGGGCACCCCCCACCGGATGCAGAGTTGTCTTGGGGATGGCCACTCCCCTCACAGGCCTCCCACTATGCGAGAAAGATGAAATCAGTGTACGTGAAACCCATGAAGGAAAAACTGGGTGCCGACTCCTAGCACTGTTTGTGGGAGTCAGAGAAGGAAGTCACCAATGTGGGCTGAGGTCGCTGGGGAGGCTTCCTGGAGGATGCAGGACCATGAACGGAAGAGAAGATGTGTGTGGGTGGAGGGTAACAGCAGAGGGCTGGTTGATCATGAACAGTGACCCGACCTCTGCTCCACGAAGCTTCTCTATCCACCAGTCTCTCCTAGCAGGTTGGAGAGAACAGGGTTTTCTCCCCTTGAGACACCTGAGGACACTGAGGCACAGAGAAAGCTGCCTGAGGGGCAGAGAGGCCAAGCAGGAATTGGACCTCAGCTCCTTGAACCTCCCAACGTCTTGGTTTTGCCCCTCAGCCTCACCCCCAGTCTAGTTCTGGAGGCCAGTCTGTGGGGAGTCTGGTGGGCAAGTCCCTAACCACCTCTCAACAGCCACACTGCTGGGACCAACACCTTGTCCTGCAAAGGACAGCAAAGTTGGAGGTCCTGTGACCCACTGGGCATGATTCCAGTCCCACTCTTTGGGGACTTCCGACATCAAGGGATCCAGAAAAGTCAATAAGTTAGTGGGTAGGAACTTGGAGATGTACAGTTCCTAAGCTATAAGAGAATCCCACACCCTTCTCTCTTGGTTTTCTCTGTACCTCGATCCCACTCAGACAGACCCCCTGTAAATAAAATCTTCCCCAGGGCACCAGAGTACCACACACAGCCACCTCAGGAACTGGCTCCTGCTCTGAATTCCCTGGTGCGCCAGGTGGCTCCATCCAAGGAGCTGCTGGGCCATAACTTTCTGTCCCATTTGATGGGCTGCCTGCCTTCACGGGGGTTGATTGGTTGACTGATTGACTGATTGATATCCTTACCATCATCATCATCATTGGGATCCACCAGCAAGAGAGTGAGCAGGCAGATCATGGGTAACTGCCCTTCAGGGGGCGCTCTCTTGCTGGTGCCCTTTACTGGGAAAGTATGTCTTGCAAAGTCTGAGTTGTGAGGCCTGCCCATCATCATGCATTGAGAAAAGAGGATCCTAAGGAGCGGCACTTGACGCCCTAGAGCAGAAGCTGGGCACAGCCCTGAGCATCATGCCCATGTGCCAACTTTAGAGCTGGTATACATGGAGGTTAAGATCAGGGGCTCTGGAATCAGAGCAATCTGGGTTTGAATCCAGCTAGGTAACCTTGGATAAGTGACTGTGCCTCCCTGATCCTCACTCTCCACTCTATAAAATCAGGCTAATAACTCTTACTGGGTTGTGAGAATGAAGCAGGAACACAGATGTAAAGCCATTAGCACAATGTCTGGCACACTGCAAATTCTCCATCAGTGGTGGTTCTTGTTAATATTATTACCTTTACCAATCTTCAGACTGATCAGCACATCTTCATCCCCTTGCCACCACCATCCCCCACCTTAAAATTCCTTCCACTCTCCTACCTCCTGTGGCCCTGAGAGCCACAGTGTCCACCCTAGGGGCAAAACCTCTGCTAGAGATGCCATGTGCAAAGGATGCTTGGTCCATCCTTCAAGGCCCAATGCAAGCACCATTGTCTCCTCCCTTCTGTGATCTCTGCTGCCTCTGAACAATCCGGCACAGTCTCCTGCCTCTTGGCACATTCCTTCTTGGTGCACTGTCATTTCTATGCATCTCTTACTGCCCTTTCCAGACTGGAACACCTTGAGGGCAAACATATATCTGAGCCACCCCTCCGTCCCCCATGGTCCTGTATATTGCAGGTACTTAGTAAATATTTGCCCACTGACATCCTAATTGATAAAGACAGGAATCCCTCCTTCTAGCCTGCTTCCACGGAACGAGAAGCCAATCCAGGCGGGGCTGGGAGGAGGCAGAGGCAAAGGCAGGCCAGGAGACAGAGCAGTTCAGCTGGTGCCAAGGACTCCTGCACTGATCATATCTTCCTGCCACTCCTGAGTCTCCTGGTGACAGGATGTTATGGCCAGGGAAAATGAGGGGAAGTAACAGTTCTTCCCAAGAACCCAAGAAGTGGGTTCTTGCTGGGAACCCACACGCTGGCTGATGCTGGCCAGCAAGGACCGAGTTTGTGGGTTCAGACAATAACATGTGCAAGTCCAGACCGCTGTTGGAGAGCTGACAGCCAGATTCATAAAACCAACTTTATATCTTTATTTCAGCATCATGGTGCTTGAGGAGGCTTCAGGATGACCCAGCTGTCAGACATCTCCAGTGAGAACAAATGATGCTGGCCTAGAGCCCAAGACTCAGCTCTGCTATTTAATAGCTTTGACCTTGGGTGGGTCAACTGTCCTCTCTGGGCCTCAACCTCTTCCTCCGTAAAATGGGATCATGATGCCAAGATCTCCCTAAATGGATGGTTTGGGGACTCCAATGAGAGAATGTACATGGCAGCACACCAAACGCAGCAAAGAACCATAGGAAGCTATCACTTCCTGGGGCTTAAAGATAATGGTCCAAAGTGTATCCAAAAATTATGACTTGAACTTTGTTTTTATTCCATTAGATCATTTTGAGGACACTAAGAGCAATATATCCTAATAGCTCTGATGTCAATTAATAATTTCAGGGCTGATTAATTTGCATACCTGCTGCTGACGATTTCAAGCAAAGTTTTGGTTACTTGGCCTAAAGCAAAATTGCCAGATTCATCCTTCTCCAGTCACACAACATATGCACTGTTACAGAGAACCTCAGAACATATGCTGCTCTGCACTGGGAAGGAAGTGTCGGTTCCATTCACTTCCTAGAGTGTGAGCGCAGGTCTGCAGAATGCGCCTCTCCTGAACTCTTGGGTCAGGAAGAGAAAAACCAACTCTCATTTGGATCTGGTGAATGTTTAATCAAAACTCATTAAAGAAACTCACTCAGCAATCATTACCGGTGGCATCAGCCTTTGTAGGAGAGCATACCAAACACTAAAGTGCCTCATGCTTTCAAAGTGAACATTACCTTTGGTGATCATACTTTTCTCCAAACAGTATGTTTTCTCTCACATTTCCGTGAAAGATCCATGCTTGCTGGGAAACATAGGCCAGAGTCCCGTTGATTGCCACGGTCCCTTGTTGTAACTGCATCTGCAGCGACAATACCAGAGAAGCTTCAGAAGCCAAACCTTGCAGACTTCTCCTCAGGGGCCCATTGCACCCTCGCCACCCACTTATTCCATGATCATTAATTCTGAAGGTGCAAGCAGGCTACAGCATGTCTTGTCCACACACTGCAAAGCCCAAGTGTGCAGATCAAGGGTCTAAAAGTCAAACATTGGCAAGGGTCCAAGCAGGAATGTTCCAGAAGAGGTTGTGGTGAGTCCTGCTGCAAGCCGGAGGGCATAGGCTGCAGAGCTGCTGCTGGCACACACAGCAGCTTCGTGCAATGAGAACAGGACGCCCTCTGGGTGGACCCACCACAAAGGCTTCCTTTTCCTCCAGGTGCACCGATTGAGCCCACTCTCCTCAGCCAGGCCCCGGGGGCAGGGCACAGCCTGCAGTGCTGTGGATGGTGGCCCTGAGGCCCCATCTTAAGGAAGCAGCCTCGACTCAGTTGCACAGTTGGTGCCACGCAAGGATGCTGGCCTGGTGTGGCCAGAGTTTCTAATTTTTCAAGAGAAGTGGAAAATCTAGTTTCATGTGGAACTTTTGGACTTTTAAAACATTGAGCAATCCAATTAGAAAACATGCATGGGCTCCTGTCTGTGACCCTGAATACATAAGTTCCTTTACGGTGGCCCACATGGTGGGTGTCGACAGGTAGCGGTAGACGCTGGTAGTAAGGCTGTGTTCAAAGCTGTCAGGAGAAGGGATGTGCGAGGCAGGCCTTGGTGCTCAAGGCTGAGGTGCACTGGGCAGCGTCAGTGTGTTGGGGACAGGGAAGGAGGATAGCCAAGGTGGTCAAGGGCTGTGATGCCATTTCACCTCAGGAGTGGTCCACGGGACAGAGAACACTAGACTTGGAGAAGAGAGAATGCTAATACCAATAATGGTATGAATAATAATAGCTCAAATGAATAGGGTATATGCCAGGCACTGTTTAAATGCTGATCACCAGGCTTAGTACTGATAATTATCCTATAACCAACTATCATATACATTATCTCATTTAATCCTCACCACAACCCTCCTTAGGCCCATTTTACAAATGAGGAAACTGAGGCTCAGAGAAGTTAACTTACTTTTCCAAGGTTAAACAGTGAGCACAAGGCTGAGGCAGGTGGTGAACCCAGGCAGTTCAGAGCCCACTAGCTTAAGCACGCTGCCACCCTGTCTCCCCAGTGACCACAGTGAGGGGCCTAATCCCACCACTGTCGCATGGAAGATAGATTTTATTTTCTCTGAGATGTTCCAAAGAGCAGGCCAAAGGCAGAAGTGAAAAGGAGGCAAATTTCATGCCCATATACATCAAAACTCTCCAAAGAGAGAACTGGCTGTGAAGTAATCAGTTCTCCATCTGGAGACATCTGAGCAGAGTGTTCACATCATTAGGTGGAGAATCGGGCTGGGTCACCTGTAAGATGCCTGCCAACCCTAGGGTTATCACAGAGGCGCACACACAGAATCCCAGAGCACGGGTGACCTCAGGAGCTCACCTGATTCAGCTCCCACCTCTGCCCTCAGGCACAGAAGTTGTCACTTTTTCTACAAATGAGTCAAGAGAAGCCACCTGTCTAGGGGCTCTTCTGAGCCTCGCATCCTCAGTTCTTCAGAGGTGCCTTCTCTCCCTGCTGCAGGCAAAGGCAACCCCAGGTGCCCAACGTTCTCTTTAGGAACACAGAGTGGGAGAAAGAGGACTTAATATTTTTTCCCCAGAAAGTTTCTCATTCATTTGGGATGAGAAACCATGGCAACTTAGAGGCCTGTGAATACAGTAAACGGCTTGACCATTTCCCTAGGGTCACACAGCTGGAAATAGCAGACAAAGGGCAAGAATCCTGGGTTCCTCCCTCTTCCTAGCATGAGGTTTCCAGAGAATTGGGGGCACATTGCTGCTTTAGTTCATGCCTTCATTTAGCCACTCCTTCATCAAAGAAAGCTTGATGGGGGAGCACTCTGGGCAGACCCCGGGGATGTGGAGGTGGATGAGGGAAAAATGCATCTGAAGTCATCAGGAATCACAGGCTCTTGGGTCCTTCCCTGCCAAGATGCTTTTCTGGCCTTTCTAATCAGGACAGCCCAAGTCATGGGAAAAAGCATGGATTTAATGACCTGTCTCTTCCTTTGACCAAGATAGAGCTCTAGGCAAGGAAGCAGTCACCGTTTAACACACATTCTTAGGAGGCAAACCCAAGAGTGTGTGAAAATCTCGGCTCCGCCTGGCCGAGAGGCGTGGAGCTGCCAAGTGCTTTGACCTCCTGGAAATCATCATTAACTATGTGCACAGAGTCCAGTGCAGCCAAGCCCAGCCGCTGGCTCCACTGTCCTCACAGGGCCCCAAACACGGCAGGCGGGGAACCAATTCATTGTCACATTAACATTCCATCTTCACAGCACTCACCACACAGCTTACCTGTCCTAGGAGAGCTGCAATGAGGGAGCTTTTTCCGCTTCCAACATTCCCACATATTCCCATGACCTTCCCCTGCCAGAGAAACAAAGAAAAGACACAGTCATTCTCCCAGTTCCTAGAGGATCTGGGGCCAAAGATGTTGCCCCCAAACTGCGCTGGCCAGGCCAGGCGGTGACCAACAGGTCATTGTTGGCTCTGTGAGGTGGCAGCTGCAGCCTCACACCCCAACCCTGATACACAGCCCAGGAGGATGCAGGAACCTAAGTCTTAATTAAGTGCTTTCCCTTGCACAGCAGAGCAGAGCTCCCAGAGGGCTTCTACAAATCATGTACAAGCACTGATGTGAAACAGCCTTGTGCTGGTCTGGGACACAAAGGTCCTGGACATGAGGGTTGTCCTGTGCCCAGACTCCAGGAAAGCAAATCTAATGGAAGTTAAAGTCTGTACAACCTAGGGGGATAGCCTTTGAAGTATGGAGAGTCAGATGTTTTTCAAAAGTCATTTTTAAAGTATCCTTCCACCATAACAACTCAATCTGAAATTACTGAGCGGTTACACTGTTCCAACATCTCGGGATCACGGATTATTCTACAGCTGCAGATTTATTAATTCAACCAACAAATCAGAGCCTGCCACGTGCCAGGCGCTGTGCTGGGCACCAGCAACAGCACAATATGGCTATGAACACGAGGGACAAAAGTCTCGGTCTGCCCTCATGGAGCTGTGTTTTAGTTGAGGAGACAGACAGAAAACAAAGTCAGCAAGTGAAATATGGAGTATGTCAGGTGCACGCCATGAGAACACACAAAGCAAGGAGGAAATGGGGCGGGGGCCTAACTGGAGAGGTAGGTGTCTCAGCTGGAGTTCTCCCAGAAACAGGCCCTGAATCAAGAATATGAGTGAAGGTAACTTGTTGGGGGGGGGGAGGGGCAGGCAGGAAACCCCAGCTGGCAAGAGGGGAAATGATACAGGAAAGGGAAGGTGGTCCATCATGGATATACTATTAGTTCAGCCCCCAGAGGAGGCACATGGAGCTCAACCCTGCTGGGAAACTCAAGGAAACTGGGGAGCTGAATATAGTTTTATCCTCTCAATGGCTGAAGGAGTCGGGATAAATACCCAACAGTCAGTGAGAGTTTCTCCCTCAGCTGTTGACATCTTGGCTCTTTGTGGGTGGTAGGGAGGGCCCTCAGGCACAGATGCAGATCTGGCAGTTGGAAGATGGCAGGACACATGGATGGGTCACTGACAGTATCTGCTACAGGTGACATTCGAGTAGGACCAGAAGGAGGCAAGGGAGTGGACCATGTAGATATCTGGGGGGAACCACTGCAGGGAGAGAAAGAGTCCATATGGAGACTCTGAGGTGGGCCCATGCCCACTTTTGCGTTCAAGCAGGTATTGCATTGCTGCAGTTGAAACATAAGAACATTCTCATTAAGACCTGCTCCCTGCATCCCGTCGAGAAAAGATGCCCAGCATGGGGCCAAATATGGCTCCTTTCCCACCTGAGCTGGACCAGAAGGGCCCATCACCTGCCTGCCACTCCCAGCGCATGAGAGTTGCTGCCTGTCATCATTAATGCCCTTGACAAATCTTTACTGAACACCAGGCACCATGCTAGGCATGGGGGATAAAGTAGTGATCAAGGCAGATGTGGTTCCTGCCTTATGGAGCCCACATCATCGTTCAAGCCACAGGTAAGGGAAGCTGATCCATCTTAATTCCACTAAAAGGACTTTAAGAAATTGGGGCATTATAGACATTGGGACAAAGAGACCCACAGGTAAGGATCCAGCCTCCCTAGGCGCTTGGCTCTCCTTTGAGTCCAATCTACTACTTGGGGCTCGGTCTGAGCCTTGTAGGTTTATCCTTGTCTTCAGCAGGAAATCCATGAGGCCTGCACCCCCTGAGTTTCTGATTATTCATTTGTTCATTCAGAAAACATTATTGGGAACTACTCTGTGCCACACACTGGGCTCAGTGTAAGGCCACACCTATGGACAAAACAGATACATGCCCTGACCTCAAGGAGGCTACAGTCTAATGGAATCATGGAATTAAATTTGGAAAAACACGGATGACCTGAATTTAGGACATTTAAGGGCAGCACTTAAGCTGGACGTGATTGTCAGAGGAAAAAGGCAACACCAATGGCTGACATCAGCAGAGACTCACTATGGGCTTAGCATTTGTGTACTGCATCTCTTTCCATTCTCACACCCACCTTGTGAAGTGGGTGCCATTATTAAAATATCCATGGAGCAGGTAAAGAAACAGAGGCTTCAAGAGGTTAGGCAATATACTCAAGGTCACACAGCTGGTAAGTGGCTGAGACTGGAACCCAGGTCTACCAGGTCCCAGAGGCATGCCCTTAATCCACATGATGCTGTGCTGCCCCCATTATACCTTCAACTTATTTCACAAAACCTTGACCATGTCCTGAATGCACAAGCCCAGGAGTTACTAATGTACTGAAAAGGAGGAAAGCAGTTGGTGGGCCAAAAGGCAGCTCCTTTCTAACACGAGAGCAGTTCACTGAGGCCTCTTTGGAATAGTTCTGAAGGCATGGTTGGAGCAATCTGGGCACTGCAGCCTTGTTAGCTACAAGAGGTACCACTCTATGCCAACTACTGAGCTTAGTATCACATAATAAATAAGAACCTCTCCTTCTCTGGTGCTTACATGGGGAAAGAGTGAGTCAACAAGATGGGAGATTAAAATACTGGGCACAAGATGAATGCTGAGCCCGCTGCAGCAGAATCAACACTGCGGGCCGGGAGTGCTGCTGCGGAGTTCCCAGGGCAAGGGAATATATGCAGGAGAAGGCCAAACATCCCCTAAATGCAGAGCTCTTTCTACAGAATCCATGCCCCAATCCTCAGAGGAGGAGAGCAGCCAACAGACTCTGGCTGGCTTCTTTTGCTGGGTTGCTTGTTGATCTCATTTTGCTTTTTACAAGAGCAGTGTGGCATAGTGGTTAAGAGTGTAGACTTCGGGGCCACACGCCCTGGGTGTGAAGCTCACTTCTACCTCCTGCTAGCTGTGTGACCTCAGGCGAGTCATCTAACCTCCTTGTGCCTCACGTTCCTCATATAAAGTGGGGGTGGCTATAGTACCTACCTCAGAGGGTTACTGGGGTGGTTAGAGGAGTTAATCATGTACCTGATACATAGTAAGTGCTCATAATTGTCAGTTATTATTACCTATCATAGTACTCCAATGCGAAATTAAGAACAAATCTGAAAAGATTTACAAAAGTTAGCCAGTTTGAGCCTAGCCACCTGAAATGGATTATCCATTCAACATTGCAATGGACTGCCAACTCCTCTGGAATTTGAAGATCAGTACTAATATAACGACCATCTTCTCTCAGGCTTGAAGACATGTCTCCATTGTTCACGTACAGAGTTTTAAAATTTGGGGAGAAAAGCAGCCTGTTTAGAGACATCCCACCACCACCTCCAGCTCAAACTGAATTATATTAGGCCTTGAGAAGGCCACAGCCACGCAATGCAAGGAGGCAGGATGGAGGTCATACCTTTAGAACACATACCCACCTTCCTCACGGCAAAGCTTATATTGTGCAGAACTGATTTGGGGCTGCCACTTTGCTCCTCTGGGCCAGTGACTTCCTGGGCTGGTGGACCCAAACTGTATGCCTCTGACCTCTGTCTCCTGAGAAAATGCTTTTTCTGGTTCTGTGCTTTCTTTAGGTCGCTTTTCCTGCTGGCTTCTTGCTCCCATGTCAAGGTAGCATTTGCTAAAAGCAAGACAGTATCTGGGTCTTCTGGTTGGGTGATGTAAGATGGGAGGCTTTTATTTATGAGAATTTTCTAAGATTAAAGAAACAAAATTAACTGGGCAGACATCATCCATTTGCAAGAATTATCCCAATATATCTTCTAATGACCCCAAATCATAATCTTGGCAATTCTACCTAGGACATCCAGGAAAGATATTCTGAAGATATTCCCCTCAGAGAAGCTGCAGAAGAAATAGTCTACCCGCTCATCCTATCTAGGACAGATGCCTCTTTAACTACCAGGCCTATGTGGGTCACCCACATTGGAAAGTGCTGATCCCAGCTGCAGTTAACCTCGTGCCCAAGATAGTCAGCTTTTGCAAGTCTTTGGGTGGTTGGCTTCATTGCTTGGTGCTAATGTTTATGAAACCAGGGCCCAGGGACTCTGCTGTGTCCTCTTCTTAGGTCCCCACTCAGCTCAGTTCAACAAAACGTTTGCCATGTGCCTAATCTGTGCCAGATTCTGGGGTAAACAGCAGAAATGCAAATATAAATAAGGCATGGTTCCTGTCTTTGAAGAGATTACAGTCTGGGGGGAGATGGGAACATGCACAAATCATTTCAGTGAAATGTGATAGGGACAACATACTGTAACTGCCAGAGAAGGGACACATGGCTCCCCAATCTGGAGGCCCATGTAATTGATGCCTGAGCTGAGTCTACACTGGTCCTGGGCAGGCAAAGATGAAGGAGAGGAGAGAGGTTGAGAGCTTTCTAGTAGAGGGGATAGTATGAACAAAGGCAAGGAAACATGCAACAGCGTGGTTTGTTGGGGTGGGGAGCATGAAGCAAGCAATTCAGGATTACTGAGGCCCAGAGCTCAAGGTAGGAAGGGGATAGGAAATGAGGTGGAAACATAACTGGGGACCTGCTGATAGAGGGCTCAGGCTCAGTCCTGAAGGGGACAGGATTCAAGGATTTTGAGCAGGTGAATATCAGTGGTCAGACCGATATTTTAACAGCTCTCTGGGGCCTGAGTGCAATATGGATTTGAGGAGGACAACACTGGAAAAGGACGATTGGTTCGTAAGTCACTGTGTTAGTTCCAATGAGAGATGGTGAGGCCTTGAATAAAAGTGATGGCAATAGGGACAGAGTGGAAGTGGAAGAGTCAAGAAATAGCATTGTTCTTCTAGTCTAAGACACCTGATGTAATAATATATACAATTAGTGTGATGGTGTTGATTCTTGTGTTTTGTTTAGAAAGTGATAACTCAGCAGTGTACCTTCCAATCCAATCTTACAAATGGTGCCTCTTAAAATTGGGGGAATACAGTGATCAGGAGACAAGTCAAAAGAGTTCTTGATTGGTTGGATGTGGATCATAAAGGAGAAGAAGGATACAGGCACCTAGGATGATTAAGATGACTTCCAGATTTCTGGCTTCGGTGAATAAGATCATTCAATCAGTTCACGGATATCTCAACATGCTGTTCTCTTGACTGGAATGCCCTTCTCCTTTTACTTTTCTTGCTTCAACTTCAAAACCACTTTATCTGCCCTTCTTGCATGTCATTTACATCTTTACTGCAGATAGCAATTATTGGTCCTATACTAGATTGGAGGATCTTGAAAGTAAAGACTCTTTCTACCTTATATTTACATTTCCCACAATGCTTTGCATATAGGAAGCACACAGTAAATCTTTGATGAATGAATAAAGTGACTAAATGATTGCACAAATGTGGTGTCCCCACCACCCTCTTCATCACTCCCATCACCACATCCATTATAGGACAAACTAGGTAGTTAAAGGGGGGATGACTCAGGGCAAACCCAACCCCACTCCTGGAACAACTTAAGATTTGGATAAAGGGTAGAGGGTCAGGAACAGCGTCTCCATGTATGGAGATTCTATCTCGTTTTTAATGAAAGGGCAGACCACCTATAAAACTCTGCCTATACCATCCTTGGGGAACATTTATCAATCCAACTCTGAATGGAAGGCCTTCTCCCAATGTCCCCCAGCCCTCCAACAGGTTGACACAGCTTCCCCATATCTGAGAATTTCTCCACCCGAAAATGAAATCTCTCTTCCCTACTCACTCAGTGTTAGTTATACCTTCATTCTCCTTAGAGAAACATTGGCTTCAGCTGCTGCTCTGACCGAGAAAGGCAAGATTGCAATTGAAAACTTCATTACATTAAACATGGCAATCACACTAAATGCCTGAGGAACAAAAGAGAGGTAAAGGCTTTAGGATGAGATATTGCCTTGGCTCTGAACCATTATATTCATGGGGATTAAATTACTGAGATGAGAAATGGTGACACAGTTGGGATTCTCAGAGGAACAAGTTTTTTCACTTCATGGCTCAGAAATCATGGGTTGGTAAATTAGGGATAGCAACATCTTAATCTACTTTGCTTTTGGATTTTCACCAAAGTGGTGGGAAATGTATCTCCTTGTCTCTGTCAATCCAGAGAGGATAAGGTCCAAGGAAGGTCTGTAACTGACTGCATTTGGAAATCTCCATCCATATCACATCTTTACTTGGCCTAGACCACTCACTCAAAACCCTATGCAGATTTTCCTAAATCATCCCCTTCTCTTAGTTGCTTCAGAGGCCTCTGACCCTTCGTAGCTAGAGCATCCTTCTCCACACAATACACAGCCCCAGGGATGAGGGCGGAAGCTTCCTGGACCTGCCTGGCCCATGCTGGCTACTGGAGAGTGACCTCTGGCTCTCTTGTCCCCAGGGTCTGGCCTCCATGCCCTGCCTCCCCACTCACCAGGGGCAGATTTGAGAGCCTTTGTTCAGCTGCCATTTCCAAAGAACCACCTTCCCTTTTCACTGGGCCTCCCTCACTGAGCCCTGCCTGGTGGGTGGTTAACATCATATAGCCTCAATGAAGACAAGTTTCCATGCTCTGTTGGTGCCCCAGGAGTGCATGATCTCATCTTTCAGATTTCATCTTCTCATCTGTCCGAGTTCTCATTAGCAGCCTCTCCCTAACCACTCATTTAAAAAATTAATAACACAACTTCCATCGACAAATCTGGAGTGATCCTGCCTGCTGTTGAATAGTCCCCATGGACAGGGCTCTGGGCTTCAACTAATCCTAGCTAGTTCATTAAGAGGATGATGAAGGATGCTCCCTTCATCACATCTGATCCTAAATACATCCCCAAAGAGAACTCAGCTCCCCCAGGTCCCAAAGTGCTATCTTGGCTCAGAAAACCCAGGCCTTGATTGACAGAGCACCTGGGGTTCCTGATGTGATTGAACGCCTCAGGGCTGACCTCCCACTGCTGTGGCCCTGGCAGAGGAAGCAACTGCAGGGGATTCTGAATTTAAAGAAATATAAGACTTGCATTCAGGGAATTTGTTCTTGGTCTAGCTTTCTTCTAAATCATCGATTTAGAAAATATTAACTATGCATCCTCAATTTGGTTTCAAATTAATTTGCTTGGTGTATTGCTGGGGAAACTTTTTTTTTGTCTGTTTGGGATCATAGAACGCAGTCAACATAATCAGGTAGCAGACCCTTCAGGTTTCAGTATACCATTGCCATTCATTCTGGCTTTGGGTTCGTGGCTGGGCCCTAGAGTGTATGGGAGTAAACTGAGAAGGCAAAAGCACCACCCGAAGAAACACAGGGCAGTAACGGGACTAACAGCCCCACAAGATGCCCTGGCAAGAGTGTCCTGCCTTCTCAAACACCCCATCCCTGCCTTCAAGATCCCTGATTTGGGGAGCATTCTTCCCCTGTGAGCACATCTAGACTTGCTTATTTCATTCTCGCTCTCTCTCTCTCTTTTTTTTTCTTCCCTTTGTTGACTTTCCTCCAACCACTTGCCCCTCAGACACTGGATTTAATATTTTAGTTGTTTGTTTGTTTATTTCAGCCAGGGGCCATTTTCCCTCTAGCTCAGAGTTTCTTTACCTTTGAATGCACAGGCCACCTTGTCAAAAATCTGAGAACCTCATATTCATCCCAATTCTCCCTCTGAGGCTTTCAACCCGAATTTGCCTGGCCTGGATGGGCATCAGGCCAATAAGAACAGCAAACACTTACACAGCATTTACTGCATACCAGGCACTGTTCCGTGTGCTTTACATAAAAGAAATCCTTCAGTCCCCACAACCACAGGGACTATTATCACCCCAGTTAAACATAATAAAACCAAGGCAAGTGAGCTTCAATGAGTTGCCATAAGTCATAGCTAGTAAGTAATAGAATCAAGATTTAAACAATGGAGGGGGCAGGGGGCGGATTTGACCCCAACACCACACTGTCCCTCCCAATACCTACAACTCCTCCCACCCAGAGAATGTCCACAAACTCTCCTTCTTGTAGTATATACAAATAAACATGAATAAAACAACCAAGCGCTCGTTTGGTTTCGATTTTGTTTTCCAAATGTGAAATTGTGCTCCAACATTAACTGCTACCCCTGGCCTGCCATAGACCAGATAAGAATCGCTGCTGAGCTCCTGGGCTCCTTGTCAGCCCAAGCACCTGTTTTTAACAATTGGGACAGAGCCTGGCCCCTGTGATTGGGTGTTCTGATGCCAGCACCAGGGAAAAGTGAGGAGGAGCACTTGCCGAAGTTGGGGTGCAAAAGCAGCCAGCTCTAGGGATGGTTCTTACCACTGGGGCGGTGAGCTTGCGTCTCAGGAGGATGTGGCAGGCGAAGGTCAATACAATGGCTATGGTGGATGCAATGGGGGCTAGGGCTGAGTTTCCACTTTGGACAAGTCCAGCTTTTTCCAGTAAATTTTCTTTCCCTTTTCCTTATATCTGCAAAATAGAAAAGAGTCCGTGGTGGTCTATTTTGTATGTCAAACATCAGCATTAAGAGACGTGTTACCCATCCTGATCCTCCTGCAAATGAGTGTTGAAGACTCCCCTTGTTTAAATGAGAGGAAGCACAGAAAGCCCGGACCACAAACCCAGCACGTACTGGGAGCTCAGTGCGTGTCAGCAGCCATTACTGCATGGTTTCTAAGGTCCCTTCCAATCCTGATCCTCTGTGTGTCAGGAGACATACCTTGGATGCCTACAGGAGCTAGGCAAGTAACTTAAATGAGGGGAGCAGGCAGAGAGTAAGACCAGGGGGAGAGTGCAGAGTGTGGCAAAACGGGAACCACGTGCTTCAGTGAAAGGGCAGCCGCCTCTCAGTACAGGGCAGCCTAGGGTCACCAGAACTTCCACTGTTCAGAAATCTGAGGTATGGGATTTTATGAGACTTCTCCCTACTTTTCGATGTTGGGAAATGATTTTAAAAGTTTTTAAATACTGTAGGGGCCAAAAAAAAACATATGCTGGCCTGAAGACTGCCAGATTGGGGCCCCTGTCCTGTGTCTCAGGAACAGCTACAAAAACCCAAGAGCACTTCTCCCTTTCATAAGTCCAGAAGAGGCCCATGACTCTGGACTGCTCATAAATTAAATTCAAGCCTCTTTCCACTGGTGTTTCAAGTCCTCAAGCCCAATTCCACCCTCCACAGCAAACACACTTTCAGCTTAACAACATGGCCCCATAGCCATTCTCACAGAGTGCTTACTATGTGCGAGGTGCTCCGCTGAACACCTAGCAGGCACTGACTCATTAGATGGCTGTCACCACTGCGTGATGAGCAAGATGCTGTTATTATACCCTTCCAACAGGAGAGGGAAGTCTTAGCCAGGTAGGCAACTTGCCTTGCAAGTGGTGGGGGCAGAATTGGAGCCCATTTCTACTGCTGCAATCCAAAGATCTATCCACACAGCCTTTGTGGGAAGACACATCCTTACCCCCAGGAATGCCCTGTCATCTCCACCACCTCCTTTCCCCAAGCACGGCTTCTCATCTCCACAACACATTTCCCCAAGCACACCCTCCCATATCCACAACACATTTCCCCAAGTACACCATCCCATATCTACCACCTCCTTTCCCCAAGCACACTCTCGCATGTCCCAACCTCCTTTTCTCAAGGACACGTTCTCATCTCCACCAGATCCTTTCCCTTAGCACGTCCTCCCATCTCCACCTCCTCCTTCCCCATGCACACCATCATATCTCCACCACTTCCTTTCCTCAAGCACGGCCTCCCATCTCCACCACCTCCTTTCCCCAAGCACAGCCTCTCATCTCCACCACTTCCTTTCCCCAGGCAAACCCTCCCATCTCCACCACCTCCTTCCCCAAGCATGCCCTCTCATCTCCACCACCTCCTTCCCCAAGCATGCCCTCTCATCTCCACCACTTCCTTTCCCTAGGCTAACCCTCTCATCTCCACCACCTCCTTCCCCCAGGCATGCCCTCTCATCTCCACCACCTCCTTCCCCAAGCACACCATTTCATCTCCACTACCTCCTTTCCCCAAGCACACCCTTCCCTCTCCACCTTTAGTCCTTTGCTCCTACCTGGAGGCTTCCCCATCTCTCTCTGTGTCCAAATCTTGCTATGCTTCAAGGTCTATCTGAAATGCCACCTGTGCCACGAGGCTTCTCTTTATTTCTCCAACCCTGGATGCTCACCGTCAAGGAGCTTCTCTCAGTTTCTCTTGTGGCATTTCTCCATTTTATTGTATCATTAATTCATGTGCTCACTCATTCAACAAATTTTAATCTGATATCTGCTATATATCAGGTGCTGTGCTTGGTGCTGGGGAGTATAGGAGTAAACAATGTCTCAGCTCTCTTTCAGGAGGGGAGATCGATAATAAAGAAATAAACAAACAATTAAATAAGATAATTACACCTTGTGTTAAGTGATCTGAAAGAAATGAACAGGGCTAGTAAGTTATTAAAAGGAACTGTTGTGGAGTTGACCTGCATATGACTGTGGTCCAGAAGACCTCTTTGAGTCAGTGACATTGAGAGGAGACCTAAAGTCAAGACAAACTCACCACAAACATCTAGCAGAAGACATTTCTGGCAGAGGTAACAGCAACTGCCAAGATCCTGAGGCATGAATGAGTGTGGATGTTGTTCTAAAGACAGACAGAAGGTTTGCCTGTCTCAAGTGGAACTATCAAGTGTTAGGATAAGATGTGATGAGGTCAAAGAGGTCAGCAGGGGCCAGATTACCTAATAGGCCATATGAAGGAAAATGGATTTCATTCACAAGTCCTCAATTTGAATAATCTAAACATGATAAGAAGCCACTAAAGATTTTTCAGCAGGAAGGGACAGGATCTGATTGACATTTTTAGAAGCTCACTCTGGCTGCTGAGTGCAGAATGGATTTTAGGGGGAAGGAAGAAAGCAGGAGTTGCATCTGCAAGTTGCCACAGTCCAGAAGGGAGAGAATATTGGCTTGCACTAGGGTGGCAGTGGAATGAAGAGAAACAGAAAGATTCCAGATATAGTCTAGAGGTAGAGCCAACAAACTTACAGCTATTTTTGAGCTTAGTTAGCCCATCCTCCCTTAATTTTAAAAGCAGGGACCCTTTCTTAATCATTTTGTGCCGGTCTCATGGCCTTGCACACAGCACATAGTAGGAACTTGGTAAATATTGATTGAATTAAACTGACCTGATTTTGAGCTGAATTAAATTGAATTAGGTCAAATGGAGTCTAATTTAATCAAATCAAATAAATTGTACTGAAGTGAGTTCAGTGTGTGAGAAAGTATTTCTGGGGTTCAAAGAGGGTCCCTTAAGACTACTGGTGTCCCAACCTGGGGCACTTCCTTTGGCAAGCTCAGAAGCAGGTTTTCTAAAGCCACTCCCTAAAATGTGGATACACAGCTTCAGGCCCAATTACATGCTGGTCTAAAAGTGTAATTGTAGATCCAGAGAGTCAATTGTCACCGTGGTTCAGATCATTAACTGGCCAACCACCTGAGTCTATGTCAGCAATTATGTAAATGTTCCTGCAATTAAATTTGCATTTATATTTGATTGAAATAGTTTTAATATCATCTTCAAAAATCCCCAGCTATATAGGCATCCTCCTATCTGCCTGAGGAACGTCAAATCTGTGGGCCATCCAATCACAGTGAGGCTGCTGCAGGCGAGAAGGAGATACAGGTGTAAGTGTGAGTGTGTGATGGTGTACGTGCAGACATCTTCCAAGTCAAGGAAATAGCTTGAGACAGCTCTTCTCCTGCTCATAATGTTTCAGTGGATTATTTTTGTAAAAGGTAACTGGCAGTACCTGCATCCACGTGCCCTGTTAAAGATGACCATATGTCGCTCGCCTGCTGAGCCCTTGGGTTCACCAGAGCAGATGCCTGAGTTTATTATAAAATCTCCGTAATTCTTTGAAAAGCCTGCAGAGCAGCTCAAGGGGTCTCCTCAGCCCCCTTCTGGAATGCCTGGCCCCAGGAACCTTAAGAATCCCTTAGAAGAGCAAATTCTACAAGGTAAGTGGTTCTTTAAGCAGCTGCTCATCCTACCTCGAATGGTGTTAGTAAAAGATTTCTCCCAGGCGTACATTTTAATCAACTTGACGCAGGTCAGAAACTCATTCATTGTCTGAACTCGCTTGTCTGTCACTGAAATTGCTGATCTTCGGAAAGCTGAATTGAGCTTAGCCATAAACATCTGAAATCGAGATACGAACACTGTGTTCAGAGAGAGTTGCTCAGTTGCAGTTGGCCTGAAAATCCAGGGATCAGAGTATAAGTACCAGGAAAAGTTCTAAGGGAAGGCGGCTTGAGATTCTCGGCTGAGTCCTCCCCATGAGTTGTGACAGCTCATGTGGTCTGGGGGACACTACTGGGGATGCAGGTGACACAAATGCACGAATTGCCAGGAAGCAAGGGAAGTGCTGGGGACACCGACAAACTGAAGAAGCATGCCCCCCACCCCCAAGGCATTCAAATTCAAGGTTTTAAAAAACTATACTGTGCCAACAAAAGAAAGCACACCTGTGAGCTCAAGGTGGGGGCACAGACTTCAGGTCCACGCCCTGGAAACAAAGCCTTCTATCCAATTCAGTGCGAGTGTGTGTGTGAAATGCAAGGGTAAAGCAGTTACAATTGCAAAGACCTGCCATTACCTCGATGGGAATGAATGTGACGTACACAGATATTCCAATGAGAGCTGTGGGCCCCAGAATGAAAAAGGAGTACACCGCACAAACAGCCATCAGGATAGGAATGGTGGCTGGCAAGGGACAAAACAAGGCATCTTCAAACAAGGAATAACTATCACTTGATAGTATATTGAGCACCTGGAAAGAAAGCACATGGGTTCAGGCTTTGGAAAGGTCACCCAAACATTTCCTCAACTGAAGGCTTTCAGAATGGTTGAGGGGTCTGATGAAAGAAGAGAAAAACAGCCTTAAAGTGGGAGTGGGGGCTGTCAGGAGACCAGCATAATAAGTTTTGTGGGTCTCATTCTGGTATGACTTTGGAGAGGCTGGTCTTTTAGAACTGAGAATCCCAATGAAGAGAGACTTAAAGAGTATTATTACCATCTAGGAGCATGCTGGAGAGGCTGCTATTGCCTACCCTGTATCTCTCTTTCCTTCTTCCTTATTAGCACAACTCTGCTTAATCAGGGCAGTGACATGTCCAGCTAAAAGACTACATATCCCAGCCTCCTTTGTGGAAGGAGCATGGCCATGTGACTATGTTAAGGGCAATGAGATACATGGCAAAGTGTGGAATGGGACTTTGGGGATGAATTATTAAAGGCAACCAACTCAAGTTGGAAGACATACTCCTTTTGCTTTTCTCTCCTTCCTCCTACCAGCTAACTGAAAAAAGGTTCGCATGGCTGGATCTCCAGCATCCATCTTGAACCATATGACAACCAGGTGCTAGGATAGTGATGAAGAAAGATAGAAAGATCTGGAAGTCCCCACACAAGCCCTGGATTGCTCTCTTCTGGACTCCTTTTACATAGAGTGAAATAAATTCATCTTGTTTAATCCACTGTTATTTTGGGTTTTCTGTTACATGCAACTGAATCTAATCATAATTGATGCAGGAATAGTTTCAACATACTGAAAGAGCAATTGTAAGAAAGTAAGTCTTTTCCCAAACCTCACCCTGTCTGGGTTCCCTCGACTAGGGAAATTTTCTTGTGTAAAAAGTGAAGATTTTATTGTTAAGGATTAAAGGCTTAAGAAAATGTCACTATGAAGTCCAAAAGGCATGGTCTCTATTATGGCTTTGGCACCCCAAATAGTACACAATTAGAATTATCAGATCCATGAGTCAATTTTATTAAATGCCTATAGTGTGCTCTGTATGCTTCAGTGTCCTCATGGACAATCAAAGGGACTGGATGAGGTCACTCCTAAACCCTGTTGCAACTGGAACAGGGAAGCCTTTCCAAATTCTCCAGCTTTCTCTGAATTCCTCTGGTGTTTTGAGTCCTCACCACCTCACTTAACAGGAAGATGGGACATAACGGGCAGGACATTAACAAACAAAAGGAAGGCAGATGCTCCATCCGGGAAGCACATCTCACACATATTCAGAAAATTTAGGATTTAGTTTCCTAAAATTAGACTCCTTCTGAACCAGCTTACCTCGCCAATGGAGATGTGTGTCAGTGTCTTGAAGGACACCAGGTTTTCGAAAACCAGGGTGGAGATGTCCACCTTCAACCGGATTGCCGTGCGGTAATTTATAGCCCAGGCAAGGGCCCAAAAGAGGACTTTGGTAAACTCAGTGGCGAAAAGGGCTATGCATAGGCCAATGCCAACCCAGACATTCCTGGAGATGCTCTCAGTGTGCTGGAGGATTTGGTGGATGAGAACTGTCTGTAAAATATTGCAGCAGAGAGAGGAGAAGACCGCTGGGGGTTGAGGTTGGTATAGGAGGCCTCAGATAATGTCAGCAAGCTGACTTGATGAGGCAAACTTTTCAATTAATTTCAGCGGCTGCTGCTATGCTTGACAAGGATTAGCTGAAAATTCTCCCCGAAGGAGCTCAAAGATAATGACAATGTACTAAACCCACCAGCTCGTAGAGAAAGTAACTAATGACATTCTTTGCCAGTCTGGGGACCTGGGAGGAAAGGCAGAAGTAGGGCTACCCCCACTCACCGGCCATATAGCTGCCATGATAATGCACAGGATGTTGGCCACAATATCCATCAAAACACGTGTCCTCTGGAATTTCCAGACCACTCGGCCCAGAGAGGCTTTCTCAGGACCCACCCTTTCTACCTCTTCATCCCAAAGGATTCGAAATCTGTGATGAAAGAACAAGAAAGAAGAAAAGGACTTACATTTCCATTTGCCATTTGAAGCTACTCTAATGGACAAACTCTTGCAAGGATGCTTAGCACAACCCTCATCCCTGGCAGTGGTGGCTTCAGATGAGCAGCACTGATTCTCCTTTCTTCCTCTACAGGGTGGATGCGATATGGGAGGGGCAGGGGGCAAAGCCTTGACACAAGCATGAGCTGGGATCTGGCATTTGGATACTTTCCAAGCCTTCATTTCCTGCTCCTACTGCCCATCTCTGGCACAATACCAGTTCTGATAAAAAGACAGAGACAACAGGGAAATAAAGAGAAAAATCTTCTCCAGGGTAGGGAGGAGTTTGTCCATTTCAAAGATCTGAAAGAAGGCCCATGTGACAGGAGTGTGGTGGGTGAGGAAGAAGGGCTGGCATGACACTGGGAGGCAATGCAGGGCCGAATTTCACAGGACCTCATAATCCTCAGGAAGGAGTTTGGATTTCATCCAAGTGCAAAGGAAGCCATTGCAGGTTTTTAAGCCTATGTGACAAGATCATTTTACATATCTAAAAGAAAATTCTGGCTGCTGTGAGAGTGGTGGATTATGGGATGAGAAAAGCCAAAAGCAGGGAGACCACAGTAGAAGATTGTTGGCATCCAGGTGAGAAGTAGCAGCAGCTCAACACTGGATCTAAGGAGAGTGCATTTAAGGAAAGGCAGGCAGGGATAGACAACAGGATTTACTGATGAATTAGATACGGGAGAAAAGGAGAAGGGGGATCAAGGATGCCAGTTTTCTGGCTTGACCCACTGTGCGAATGGAGTTCGCAGAGATGGGGAAAAGAGGAAGAGAAGAGCATAACCGAGTTGGGGCCGAGGATCAAGAATGCAGGTTTAGATACAAGATGCTTGTGAGTCATCCAAGTGCAGTTGTCCAGTTGGAGGCTGGGTGAACGAATTCGGAGTCTGGAAGACAGGCATGGACTGAAGATAGCGTGTTATTGAGGTTGTCAGCATGTGTTTGGTGTTTAAGCCTTTGGAGTGGATAAGATCACCTGGGAGCAGAATATAGCACGGAAGAGAAGAGGAACTCATTTGTTTTGTGTAGATGGAAGGAAACCTTGAAAACAGACAGAAAGTACTGGCTAGAGAGGTAGAAGGAAAACCCAGTACTCCACAGACAATGGTCCAGTCCCTTTCTCTCGGTGCTCACCGGCAATTTTCTCCAGACTGTGGATTTTAGAAACTACCACTGACTGAGATTTCCGCAGGCCACAGATGAGGGGAAGCACAGTTGTAGAAGCAATTGCAAGACCATGATTAAAACGCCCAGCCCTTTAAGCATATGCTCCAGGCTATGCCTTGTACTTTACCTCATGTGTCCAAAGATAGGCAGAATTCCAGAAGAAACAAATGCAGAGAGAGGGCTTTGAGAACTTCCTCATTGTTTAAGACATTGTGGTTCATCAGAACCTCAAAGTTTAACCCAGCTGTTAGAGTGAAGTTGATGTCTTTGTGCTGACATGGAAAAATCTTTATAAACTCTTAACGGAAAATAGCAAAATGGTTAACCATTATATAGCATGCTTCATTTTCTGTGTAAAGGAAAGAAACATGACCTGTGAGTAGGGAGGAAGAAGAGTTATTGATCTGCAGAAGATGGTAGCACAGGGTGTGTTTAATCAGAGTAGAAGCAATTCTGGACAGAGCCACACCAACATTCAACAGTGCTCACTTCTGGGGAGTGGAGCAGGAGTACAGTGGGGACACTTCCCCTGGTTACACGTCCGTTGCTTTAACACTTTTATAATTAAGGTGAATTAGGTTGAATCAATGTAATTTACGGTTTTGCAAGTCAAAATTGTCAAATATTGGCAGTTTCATCTGGTTGCATCTAAACATATTTTGTAATATAAAAGTCCAATAACGATTTTTAAAGTGAAACAGAACATGATGCCTGGAACCATGTGCAGCAGCCTAGGTGGGGTCCGACCAGCACAGAGCAAAGTGAGACTCTTGCCTGCCCTGTCCTGATGTATTGCTCCTACAAACCAGCCGACAGCCTGGCCAGAAACGTCCTGAGCCTCAAGCCTCTAGCTCTCAAGCAGTCCTTTCTCCACGTCAGCGCTCCCCAGTGCTTTCTTCCCCAGAGATTGGGCCCAGAAGTTCAGTCAGCCCAGCCCACATCTCAGAGAGCAGCCACTGAGAAGGGCCACCAGGATTCATGGGTGTCATATTCCACACTGGGGAAATGGGCTCACAAAACGGCTTACAGGCCCCAACCTGGTTGGGCTCCTCTCCCGAGTGGCCCAAGCGAATCCCGGTACCTTTTGGCGTTTGTGTCGGAGGAGTCATACGGTGACAATGGGGGCAGGGTGTCCACAGTCAGCGTGTGCTTGTAGCCTCGAACCATCACCGGTGTGAGCCAGGAAAACATGGCAAAGGAGAGAAGCCCTGCATCGTCTATGGGGTTGGGCGCCAACCTGAGACAAATGAGACACTCAGTGTTCCAGGACGTTGGGTCGCTGCCCTGAGTCCCTGACTTGAATTCTTCACTACAGTAATAACCGCAGCCACTCTCGGAACACGTGATTCGCATCCATCAGCACTCTGAGCAGCAGTGTGCTGGGACCAGCTCATACCAGTTTGTGAGAGCAAATTGTTAAATTGTCAGGAATTTTGCAAATCAGTTGTTAAACACAGCCAATATTAAAAATTAGATTACATAAATTTAAATAAATTATCTTAAAGACAAAGGCAATAAATACTCAAAACTCATCACCTCCTAATTATTTTACTAGTATCTGTGCTCTTTAGATTACGGAAGTCTATTGTATCTGTGTGGTGGAAATATCATATATAATAGGGTGCAATTGTGCATCTCTACCCAGCTTTGCACTCAGTGACATCACATTGGTAGCTTAAAATCAGCCGTGGTAGAAGTATTTACACCATAAAAACTGATAAAGGTTACAACCAGGGAATTTTTTTAGTGAGCCAGTTGTAGAACATTTACCAGTATTCGAGACTCATGACCATCCCACGAGAAAGAGGGCACCCGCTCCATCTGGTGTGAGGAAATGGAGACCTGGTAGCTGACCATCAGAGGAGTTGGGTACGTGTCTTGCTCTCAGGAGGTCGGGGAAGGTCCAGAATAGGGTGTGCCACAGTGGGAGTGAGGCTTGCCAAGGAGCAAAGAGCTGGAGGAAAATTCATGGTTTACTGTGAGGATGGAATAGACTAATACATGTAAAGTGCTACATAAATATTAGCTAGCAGATAAAGGAGAATAGGGGGATGTGAAAGGAAGAGGAAAGGAGAAAAGGAAGAAGAAGAGGAAGAAGAAATGAAGAAGGAGGAAAAGACCATGATTTTACCGTTGACGAATTGACCATCTAAGATGGAATAAAAGCTAGAGACATAGAGTATTATTTACTAATTGCTGAGTGTTGCTTATATTCCAGGCCCTGTAAGAGCGTTATATTTGTAAAAGATGGTGTCAAGATGCCCTGAGTCACAGACTCTTGTCATGTCCACCTCTGATCTCAGCTATGGAGGACAGTGTTGTGCAAGCTGAGGCTCATGTTAAGTGTCCCCTCTCAAATGTATGCTGTGCCTCTTTTCATTATCTGTTCCAGAGCCTTCGCAGGAGCATAAGTGCAACTCAGAATTGCAGGGGTTAATGCCCCCAGTGGCAAACCTTAACTAATGGAGTACAGGCACCCACGGATAAATGCCCCCACCTCCCATCCTTTGGGTGGAAAATTTTCCACTTCTTAGGAGGACATAGTAGAATCCAGTCCCCATTGACTACAGCAGTGACATTGATGACACACTCCACATTCTCCTTCCCTGCCTCACTCTCCCTAAATCTTCCCACTTGCTTCCTGAGATCACCTCCCAAATAAGCTACCTGCATCCACATTCTTAACTCAGGCTCTGCTTTTGTGAGAACCCAAGTTAAGATAATATTAATGAGGTACTATGTGCCAGGCATTACCTAAAAGGTAACTTTTATCATAAAGTTATGCATTAGCTCATATAATCCTCACAACTCAGTAAGATGTGTAGTGGGGTATTGTTATGACCGCATTTCATAAACAAGAACATCGAGGCACACCGAGATTAGAGTACTTGCCTAAAGTCTTCCAGCTGGTAAGTAGTGGAGCAGGGATTCAAACCTACTGCTTGCTCACTCCAGGGTCCTATCATTCTCTTAAGTACTACCTCACATTGTCTCTCCACAAAGCAATTATGAACTGAGCTAAAACAGTAGGTAGGTAGAGCTCTCTTTCCTGGGGCTAAGGATGATAGTCCATGCCCTCGCTTTTCAACCTTCACCTCTCAACTTAGAGGACTCAATGGTGTACCTTTGGTCCAAAGATTCTGAGAGAGAGCAGTGCTGTGTCTCCTCCCTATAGAGATGCCTCTTGGCCTTCTGCTGCTCAGAGAACAGGCCACAGGGCCCTTTCCATGTAGAAAAGGCAGGATTTTATAATACTATGGTTACTAAAATATTAATAATGTTATAATAATATAGTATAATGTGATACTGTAGTTAAACATGTGAGCTTGGAAGTCAGGCTGACTGAGTTCCTGTTCTACAGTTCAAATATAACCCAATTCTCACTCCCCATCTGTTTCCCAGCCCCTTGGAATGTGACCTTGCAACTCCTTCCATCAAGAGATTGAGTTCATTTCTTCATATCTTGAATCTGGGCTGACGTGACTTGCTATGGCCAAGAGAATGCAGTGAAAAAAATGGTGTACCAGTTCTGAGCCTGAGTCTCCAAAGCCCTATATGCTTCAACTCATCCTCTTGGCTGCCTACTGCATTACTATGTGATCAAGCCCAGGCTAGCCTGCTGGACAGTAATGGCCCATGTGGTCCACTTGCCCCCATCGCACCAGTCAACAGCCAGCCAACCCCCAGAAGCAAAGCCACCTTGCTGACCAGTAGATGCATATGTAAGCTTGGTCAAGACCAGATGAATCACTCAACGGACTAAGCCCAAGTTGCTGACCCACCCATAAAATTGTAAGCTAAATAAATGGCAATTGTTTTAGGCTGCCAGGCGTTGAGACGGTTTGTTACAAAGCAAAATCTGTCTGATTAACTTTGGGCAAGTTACTTAACCTCTCTGTGCCTCACTTCCTCACCCAGAGATAAAGATTATAATAGTGTCTTCAGGGAGACTGTGAGGAGTGAATGAGAAGATGATTATAAAGCACTTGGACAGGTTCTGGCACAGGGAAAGCTCTCCTTAAACATTAGCTATTGTCTCTCTCTCATCAAAGGACGGGAGCAGTCAGGAAGTGAGTGGTCAGTAAATGAATAAATGGATGGATGGTTTATTGGATGCGTGGATGGATGGATGGAAAGACACAAGGACAAGCGTATAGAGCAGCAGCATGGGGAGCAGAAGTAGTGACCACCCTCCTGATGGGCTGGAAACTATTCCTGGAGGTTCTGCCTTAGACTCCCTCCAATCCTCCTCTTGGCTTACCTTGCATAGGGTCTCACTGGGATCATGGTCTTCAGGCTGGGGTCATATCTCTCTACAAAGGATCTCCGCTGGCCTTGCCGGTCCAGATCTGAGAGAAGGTAGGGGACTTCACCCACCATCCTGATAGCAGTCTGGAGCCCTGGGCTCTTGGACTAGGGACACCTTCACTCTGCAGCAGAGAGATGAGGAAGGTTCACTGAGACATGAAGACACTCTGGAATGGGATCAGGAATCCTCTACTCCGCCCAGACCAGCTCCCTTGCTCCAATCTCTCAGACATGGTTCCACCAATTAGCTTTCCACATTTATAGGAGAAAGTGGCCAGAAGCCCTGCCACATCCCTCAACTCCAGAGTGAGGCTTTCTTATTAGCCAAGACATTCGGTTCCTCTTCTTTCTCATTTTGGGTTGACTGGGAGCAGAAAAGCCTGTTGTAGGTTTTCTGTCAGGAGCCAGCCTATGGCCAAGCTTAAGTCCCAGTCTGGAAAAAGACCCCCAGGAAAGATGGGCCTGCTGTCTTAGTGTGACCCAGAGTTAAGTTTGTCACACACATCCCTTTCTCTCCCCAATTCTCTCAGATAAACTTGTGCATCTACATTGCCCTGTCCCCATACCCAAGGGTCAGAGAACTTCAATGATGCCACCCCTCAGGACAAGGTGCATCTGAACAAGCCCACATTCCCCTCACTACTGTGACCAGTTCCCCAAAGGAAAACCAACAATCCAGGTAGAGAGGAAACTTGTTGGAGTACCTGTCCATTCCATAAGCCAACCACCTTATTCACCAATCACCTAAACTCAATGAATAGAGAACAATCCCTGAAGGTTTTCCTACCCCTAGTTCCAATCATTTTCTGAGTCCCAGCTCTTTTCTTTCCCTAGGGTTCCATGACATCTCTCTTCTCATATCCTATAGATAAATTCTTCTTTTTTACCTAAACTATCTTGAATTGGTTTCTGTCATTTGCAACCAGAGGCCTCACTATTATAAATAAATTAGGGTCCCATCCCATGAATTCTCTCTGCAAGTTTTCATGGCAGGAAACATCAAATAGACCAACTCCCATCAAGATTTTAATGGCTGATAAACCCATGGCATGTCAGAGTTGGAAGTGTCTTCAGATGCAATCTTTTACAAACTCCTCATTGTACAGAAGAGGAAACAGAAGCCCAGAGAGGAAAAGAGACTTACTCAAGAGTAGTAGTGACATCAGCTTCATGGCTGATTAAGACTTCCCTCCTTTGTGTCATCCACCATCCCTACCCAACAACAACAATTTGGCATCCATCCATGAACAAAAGTGCCTTTCTGGGAGCTGCGGGATCCAGCACCATATGCCAAGGGATTTGGAAGGAGTCTCATCCACCCATGCATCAGGTAATACACATACAGAGCTCAGTCCAAGATGTGGACCTGAGTGTGGCCCATGAACTGGCTCCAGCCCCTCTAAGTCATGGTCCAGGAGCCCCTGGAAAACACCATCTTAGACAATCACCTATGGATGAGAGAACCTTTGGGAAAGTCCAGGTTTCCAGTAGAGAAGTGTGAGAGTGTATGAGTGAGCACTCAGCTTCCTCAGCTGTGCAGAACAATGACAAAGAAGCCCGTTTCTCTTTTACTGCATCCAGGGAACTGAATTGTGAGCTACATGACTAGGGGGCAGGAAGAGGCTGGAAGAGTGGCAAACAGAACTCTTGGAGGGCATCAAACACGAATCCTACTAATTGCATCATGGACTCCATCAGGAAGCCTGCCCACAAACCGCTGGACCCCTGGATCCCCACAACTGGCCCACAGGCACCCTCAACACTCTGTTTGCCTCACTCACACACTGCCCACCCTGTGGCGGGTTTCCTCTGAGCATCCCAATGGCAGCTGCAAGAGTGAGTTTTGGCAGACAACTAGTGAGCGTGCACAGAAAGCTGGCCCAAATCTGTGGGCCTGGGTGAGACCACAAACTTGAGCTTTAGTGCCACCTTTGGAAAAACAAAAGGGGCGGTCAGCACCTGGCCTGGTGCCTTGCAGGATGGAGAGAAAGCATGTGAGCTTGAGAATTCGGTCACAAAAGAAAGCAAGAAACATGAAGCATATGAATCCATAGCAGGTCTGAGAAAGCCTCAGAATCCCTAGCAGGGCTGACAAAGGGTATTTCTCTCTCAAAGGCAGTTAGTAAAGACTGGAGGAGGTGAAGGCACTTCAAATGCAAAGATAGCAATGCAAAACTTCACGGAATATGAAAAATAAAGAAAACATGACACCACCAAAGGACAACAATCATCTTCCAGTAACCAATCCCAAAGACATGGAGATCTGAAATTGACCTGATAAATTCAAAATACAGATGGTCCCTGACTTAAAATGGTTTGACTTATGATGGTTTGACTTTACAATGGTGTGAAACCAATATGCACTCAATAGAAACCATACTTCAAATTTTGGATTTTGATCTTTTCCTCAGCTAGTGATTTGCAGTACAATACTCTCTCATGATGCTGTGCAGCAGCAGCTAACCACAGCCTCCAATCAGCCACGTGATCATGAAGGTAAACAATTGATATGCTTACAGCCATTTTGGACTCACACAACCATTCTGTTTTTCACTTTCAGTACAGTATTCAATAAATTACATGAGATTTTAACACTTTATTATAAAATAGGTTTTGTGTTAGATGATTTTGCCCAAGTGTGGGCTAATGTAAGTGTTCTGAGCATGTTTAAGGTAGGCTAGACTAAGCTATGATGTTTGGTAGGTTAGGTGTATTAAATACATTTTTCTTTTATGATATTTTCAACTTAAAATGGGTTTATCATGATGTAACCCCATTATTAGTTGAGGAAGATCTGTAGCTGTTTTGAGGAAAACTCAGTGAGCTGCAAGAAAACACATAAAGACAATACAACTAAATCAGGAAAATAATACATGAACAAAGTGAAAAGTTTAGCAAAGAGATAGAAATCATTAAAAAGAAATTCTAGAGCTGAAGAATACAATGAATGAACTGAAAAATACAATAGAGAGTATCAACAGCAGAGAGAATCTGTGAGTTAGAAGACAAGAACTTTGGAATTATCGAGTCAGAGGAGAACAAAGAAAAAAGAATGAAAAAGAATAAAGAAAGCCTACATGATCTATGGAATACCATCAGAGGAAACAATCTGCAAATTATTGGAGTTCCAGAAAGAGAAGAGAGGAAGAAGGGAGTAGAAAGCTTATTTAAAGAAATAATAGCTGAGAACTTCCTAAATCTGGGTAGAGATTTGGATATCCCAGTTCATGAAGCTCATAGGTCACCAAACAAACTCAACTTAAAGAGATACTCTCCAAGACACGTTATAATAAAACTGTCAAAAATCAAACAGAGAGAATCTTAAAAGCAGCAAGAGAAAAAAAGCTTGTAACTTACAAAGAAACCCCCATAAATCTATGAGTGAATTTTTCAGCATAAACCTTATAGGCCAGGAAAGAGTGGAATGATATATTCAAAGTGTTGAAAGAAAAAACCACCAACCAAAAATATTCTGGCAAATTTATCCTTCAGAAATGAAGGAGAGATAAAAACTTTCCCAGACAAACAAAAGCTGAGGGAGTTCATCACCACTAGCCCTGCCTTACACAGATGCTGAAAGGAGTTCTTCAGGTTGAGATTAAAGGACATTAATTAGTAAAATGAAAACATATGAAAATATACAACACACTGGTAAAGGTAAGTGTGAAGTCAAATTTGGAATACTGTAATACTGTAATACGGTAACATGTTAACCACTCAATTCTAGTACAAAGGTTAAAGGACAAGAGTATTAAAAATAACTATAGCTACAACAGTTTGTTAATGAATACGTAATATAAAAAGAAGTAAATTGTGACATCAAAAACATAAAAGGGGGGAGTAAAAGGGTATAGCTTTTGTATGCAATCAAAGTTAAGTTGTTATTAGCATAAAATAGACTATTATATCTATAAGATGCTTTATGTTAAGCCTCATGTTAACCACAAAGCAAAAACCTACTGTAGATGTGCAAAAGATAAAAAGAAGGGAATTGAAACATACCACTACAGAAAATCATTAATTCACAAAGGAATGTAGCAAGTGAGGAAGAAATGAACAAGTGAACTACAAACCAGCCAAAAAAACAATAAGATGGCATCAGTAAGTCCTTACCTATCAATAACTACTCTAAATGTAAATGGATTACATTCTCAAATCAAAAGGCAGAGTGACTGGATTGATTTAAAAAAATAAGACCCAACTATATGCTGCCTACAAGAGACACATTTCAGCTTTAAGGACACAGATAGGCTTAAAGTGAAGGTATGGAAAGAGATATTTCATGCAAGTGGAAACCTAAAGAGAGCAGGGGAAGCTGTACTTATATCAGAAAAAATACACTTTAAACTGAAAACTATAACAAGAGATAAAGAAGGTCATTACATAATGATAAAGGGGTCAATTCATCAAGAAGACACAAAAATAGTAAATATATATATATAAATATATATATATTTATATATATATATATGTATATATACACTCAATATTGGAGCATCAAAATATATTAAGCAAAAACTGACAGATATGAAGAGAGAAATAGATAGTAATACAATAGTACCAGACAACTCCAATACCCCATTTTCAACATTAGATAGATCATCCAGATGGAAAATCAACAAAGAAATGTTGGACTTGAACATACTTTAGACCAAATAGACTTAACAAACATATGTGAAACATTCCATCCAACAGAATACAGCAGAATACACATTTTTTTCAAAGCACATAGAACATTCCCCAGGATAGATCATGATGGATCACAAAACAAGTCTTAGCAAATTTAAGAAGATTGACATCATATTAAGTATCTTTTCAGACCACAACAGTATGAAACTAGAAACCAATAAGAAGAGGAAAGCTGTAAAATTCACAAATATGTGGAAATTAAATAATACACTTGTGAACAACAAATAAGTGAAAGAAGAAATTAAAGGCAAATAAAAAATATTGTGAAACAAGTGAAAATGGAAACACAACATATCAAAACCTATGGGATGCAGCAAAAGTAGTTCCAAGAGGGAATTTTATTGTGATAAATGCCTACATTAAGAAAAAAGAAAGATCTCAAATAAATGACCTAACTTTACACCTCAAGGAACTAAAAAAGAAGAACAAACTAAGCCCCAAGT